AACACAAAAGAAATTCCTGAATTCCTAATAAGTTTAAGATAGGTTTCGATTTTTATCATCTTGTTCATCTGAGAACCTGTATGGGGACACCATTGCGTCAGCAGAACTTAGGTCGTGGTTTTTCTGGCGTAACATTCGTCATTTTCAAATGTTTTTTTATTTTTAACAACCGTGCGGGAAAATTAACTTCAGCGATGGCTAAAAATGTATTATCATTGCTTTTATCACCATATAAGTACATTCCATGTAACCAAAATGTCTCGAAATACAGTGCAGCCATAGGCGTACACGTTTTACCCGTAGGGTTCGTAATGGGCAAAAATTTTTAAAATTCATATTCGGAAAGTTAGTTAAAAAAATCAGTTTTTTTAACTACATCTAAATCTATTTTTTTTTTCTATTCTAAATCTATTTTAAATTCGTAATTTCGTAATCAACCGAGACTGCGCCTGTGGATGCACGACACAATTTTAATCCTTTTATATATATTTCAATCAATATCGCTTTTGACGAACACAGCCCACTAAGAGAGAATATGCGCGGGTTTTCTTTGCCGTCATCATCCTTCCGCGACCACTGCTTCCTTTCAGGAAAATTTACAGAGCGTGGTTTTATGCCAACAGCAACACTCGCCTGCGACGACTCGATACAGTCCGTATACAAAACTCTGTATTTGAACATATAATCTAATCGTTCAGATAATCTAACTGAAAATAACATACTGGAGATAACGTCACTGAAGTGAAGTTCGGCCAACGAGCGAATTTAGATAAAAACATGGATTTTTCATACGGGAAAACAGGCTAAAAATTAAATTTTATTCGTTTATATCAGCAAATTCAACTGCTTTCGCCGCTATTGTTATTAATAATTAGTAAAAATTGCCCACCGACGTGTAAACACATTTAGGACCGTCATCTGCGAGTTGCTATACACGTAAGCCATTTTTGACATTTGAAAAACTAATGTAAACACTATCACAAAAACATTAATACTAAAATTTCTGTATTCGAAATCGCCTGGAGCCACGTGGAGAGAGAGCGCATTGGGCACAGTGCAACGCGAATGGCACTATAGTAGCCCAGCGATGTAAAGGTTGAAAATACTACAACTTCAATAATTATTTTCTCGGAAACTATAAGGAGTTTACCAAAATTTTTTTTTACAATATTGACTCAATTCCCAAATCTTTTTGGATAAGTTGCGAATCACCCAGACATTTATTATCATAAAAAGTACTGCTTTAAAAGTGGAACCGCGCTAGCGCCACTCTGTACCCTTTTGTTTAACAGTTATTTTCATTAGAGTCTTAAGTATGTTAAAAACAATAGAGAACGCTATATTCTCGTGTATACTGCAGTAAGAACGTCCCATGGCATAGTTCTTCTATCGTAACATGTGTATCCCCAGGCTACGGGCAATTCGTATGCTATGACATCACAGAAATAATAATTAAACCATTAGAATTACCATCGTGGTCCGCATGGTAGAAAAAAAAACGCAAGATGAATAGCTCAACGAAGTCATATACGGGCATACAATTTATTTTAATTTTTTTAATCACTCTTCATTCTGGTTTGACGTTAGATAAACCGATATTAACTTTCACTATTATCGGACGAATTAATTAAAGAAAATACACAGTCGGAAAACAAAAGGCTATTATGTTGCAGAATAAAAAAAAAGGCTAAACCGAAAAGTGAAACTTAGTAACACGACTCGATTCGACGATAACGAATCTTTTCTTACATTGACATTTAAAAATCAAACCTTTTCACTCCGGCCGTACCTCAAAGGAAAAAATAGAATGAGCAGGACGAAACAATTTTTCAATTTCACTTGTTATAAACGCCCGGTACATAGAATATAATTTTTAAGTATACAGCGGCCAAAGATTCCGTACATGTTTATAAATAATAATATGTTATGTAAATATTAATATTAATAACTACTTTTTCATAATCTAAAATTTCAAGGTGCCTGATTCCTATATTTTTATGTTATAATTATCCGTTGCTTCCAGGCATTTTGCGGTGAGAAAGCCACGCAATTTGCGTTTGAACTATTTAACATTAGATTTTTATCTGGTCACATAAACATAACCATTAATTTTTTATATATGGCATTACCTAAATCAGAAAGCAGCGAATATTTACGCAAGTTTAAATTTTTTTACGAAACGTTCTTGTATATATTTAAAATTTTGAAGTTCGTTTTCGTTTCGTAATTTTCCGTGCGGTTAGAGAACGAATTGCCTACGCTTCAGGCAACCTTGTTTAACGTTATTTGCTTGAAGGATTAAAATCAAATTTATGGTATTATAAAATCTTAATCCAAGAACATCCAAGATATAATCCGACACAGGTACAGCGTGAGAGAGGCTTTAAGATTTTGTATCCCTCGGGATCTTCGTCACAGGCTCAGAAACTGGAAATCTTCGACAATTAATAATAAATAGTAAGCTTCGGGGTACTTGGGTCGACGTTCGACCGCGGACTATGCTGGATCCGCAAGGGTGCTACAGTGGTATTCGCGTTGAGTTTGGGACTGTCGTTTCCTCGAAAAACGCCCTGTAACTAATTTTGAAAATTTGTGTTTGCCTTTGTGCGTTATCAGCGGTGTCTCAGCTACCTGCAGCGCGAGGTGGTTGATGGCAATCGGGGCTTGCTAGGGAAAGTTTGGGAAATTCTCAAAACATCGGTGAAATTCTCGTTTAACGCTTTCCGCCTTCTGATAGCTATGAGTGAAATTTCTTGATTTGAATTGGAACCTTGAGTGAATTTTTGAATTCCTCTCGATAATAACTAAATATACAGGGTTTCTCACGGTGACGGCCCATTAGAATTATTTCAGAGACTACTTCGATTTGAATTTTGAAAATTTGGGATACCGGGTTTTCGGGCATGCCCTTCTCAACTAAAATAATGGCGTCCACGTACCACTTCCGGTTATACCGGAAGTCGCCATCAACTTGCTTATTTTAAATGGAACACCCTATATATTATTGCAATTTTGGATTCTACGTGTTATTTTAGGTGGACTTTTATGAAGTTTCCCTATTCCTAAAATTAACCGTTTTCGAGATATTTAATTTTTTTCAAAAAAATGGAGAGAAACAGTGACTAGCTTCAAACCATGTGTATTTTATAGTAAGAAAGATAAAGCAACAATATTTATAGGGGGGATAGCTAGACCCCTAAGCTTCCCATCCATACTTTCAAAGTGGCTTAATTGCATACAGGGTGCTAGAAATTTAATGCCGAGTTTAGTTAACTTCAAACCTTCATAAGTCGGTTTTTTTAAATGGAACACCCTGTATGTTTTTCTATATTCTGATACACAATTTTATTCTCTTTCGAACGGTATCAGGGTTCCCTATACCTATCTCTTCTAGTTTTTAAGTTATCTACTATTTTTTGTGTAATCACCTAAAATCATGTAATTTCTTGCGAGGATAGCTGTGGAATTTTTAGCAAAACTTCAAAACAAACAACTAAACTGTCACCAGTTATTTATTATTATTTATTCACAGACGTTGCAATGGGATTCTAAGCAAAACATTTACAGTTTTTAATTAAACATATCCCAATTTTCCACCAATGAGCAGAATAAAGTTAACATGAATTCTAAAAAATCAACTTCATACGAACAAATCGAAGTAGTCTCTGAAATAATTCTAATAGGTCGTCTCACGGAGACACCCTGTATATTAAAAAAAATTAATTATGCTTCGAAAATTTTAGTGCGATGTAATTTTTAACAGAATTTGTCTGGTTGTTGCTATTACTTGATGGAATTGCTCGCTGATATTGCCGTAGGTATTTCGAAAAAAGTAGAACTTATTATTTATTGATACTAGATTAGTAACGCAAGTATTTAGAAAACGGTCGTGGTCGGGAAGCAATGCCGTGTGGGCAAAGGCATTTACACAAATATTTCCATCAGGCTTATAAATTAGTATACGTCAATACGTGGCATGCAGTAGACAATAGTTGGCGGCAATAATTTACTTGCAGACGCGACCATTAAGTACCTTCAAACCGGTAGAATTTCTCGCCGGTCGTATTGATTGTGGCTTGATACATTTTATAAATGAAAGAAGTGGTTTCATTGAAAACAATTTACTGGAAAAGATGTGCATAGTAGTGGCACTGGCCACTTCGGACGCGCCGGGAATGCTAATGCTCTGCCAGTGGTGCTCCGTATACCAAAATTATTGCCCCATACAACTGTTTTACCTCCTTTGCTTACAAGGTGCCACCCGACAGAACTAACTCGTATACGTTAAATCGCGGAAAATAACAATAAATTCCATTTTCCTGGCAAAACATTGTCTCGACGCCAAAACTGGTAATAATTATACGAAACATGCGTAAAAACTATAAAATGAAAGGCATTATAATAGATTTTTCAAAACAGTTACTTGATACAGTTGAAAGTCTGCCAAAGATTTAAAATTATTTGCGTATATAATTCAATAAAATAAATATCGAATTCGCTTTCAAAATAAGTAAAATAAAAATTCGTCTTCGGTATCGAATCCGGACATGTGCCAAATCACTTTGGGCAAAAGTTCCGTTACCGATTTGTTTGTTACGTGTAGGTCGAACTATTAACTTTTTTTTCACAACCCACACGAAAATGACTCACATTATTTTTAATATAGACTATGGGCACGGAAGTTGTCTCCGAGTAAATCGAACAATGAAAAAAAATATGTGCGTATAAGTTGACACCTGTGGGTTTCAACAAATTAGCAGCTCGTTGGTGGCTAACAGCTGAAAATTCCTTCTTATTATATCAATGTTACGCATACTACTGGGTGCTAAAGAGATCGCAGAAATTTTAGAATTATTACTAAAATGTAAGTGGAAATACTCCGTGGAGACGTCACTGTGTTTATCGATTGCCAAAGGCCTTAGTCGCTACGTAGTATGCCTTTCGGCATATCAATGATTCTCCGAGCCTTTTGTATTGTTAATGTCGCATGTTTCTTGCAGGTGTACCATCAGCATGGCTGGAGGGCGGACCCCGTATTGGTGACTTGAAAAAATGAACTGTAGTGATCACTATCAAGATCTGTTACTGTATCTGGAACAGACCGAGGTAAGGCCACGACCGAGGAAATAGCATGCCATTTTTTCCAATATTCGTGATTAATAAACGTACGTTATCGGCATAACCGAAACTATTTTTGAAGCTGCTAGCCCGAGCGCATTCCTTTGATCCTTAAACAATATACAAGATGTCCCGCAAGTACCTATAAAACGGAAGACCACAGATTCCTAGACTCGAAATAGGCTGATATAGGCTAATTCATCTACATCCTTAGCCAAAATGGGCCTATTTTGAGTGCAGGTCCTCTTTGTACACATACACCTTGTAAACAGATAAAAGATACATTTCCAATCTGGAATGGTATATTGGTAATAATACGCGATCTTACGACCTTGAAGCTGATAGTTTTGTAGATGAAACTTCCTCGACCAGATTGTACACAAATGATTTTAATTGTAACAAGGCAAAAAAAGCAAAGTCAATGCACCCCTTTTTTATATTAATTCAGGGCCGTCTTTTGAAATGACTAGTCTCTGGAAATGCAATACAAATAGGAAGATTATACAGGATGTTCAGTTACTTAACGGACAAATCACCAGTAGATACTACGGAAAAAATTGTGGGGAGGGGGAGGGGGTTAGTTCAAATATAACTTTGTAGGAAGTTAGAGATACATTTGAAAGGGAGGGTTTTAAAGGGGCCCCTATCGTTAGATACAATTTGATATAAATACAAAAAAACAGTAGCGCGCAAATTACAATCTCTTATAGAAAAATGTATGTTACGCCACTGCGCGGAAGCAAGAAACATATTTAAAATTTTCAGTGTTTTTTTAATGATAATTTTATGCTTTTATTGATTTAAACAGTTTCCGATATACAGGGTGTAAGAAGTTTGACTGCCATTACTTCAGCATGAGATACAGTAATCATAAATGAACAAAAAAGATGTATATTACAGCGAGTATTAATATTGTAGAGTTTCATCACAATGTGACAACAGCGCTTAACCTAACGCTACACAGCTGGTGCATACACGTGTGGACGCGGTAGACTTGTCCTACGGAATAAATGTAAACAACTATTATTGTGAAACATTTAGTAAATTTCAAGACAATTGTTTTCCAGTTTTTAAATAAATAAAATAAAATGTATCGATTTTGTAGCACGAGATAGTGTTGTGCTTAAATTTTATCTCGAATTTTAGTAATTATGAATCTCTTAAAACAAGAACTTGACTTTTAATCAAATTCTGAATTTGAAAAATATGTAATTAAAGTACCCAAAGTTCACGTCATCCAATCATACGTATCAAAAATAATTTACGTATTTACCAAAACGCAAAATTCATTAATTTTTAAACGCGCAAGTACAAAACAAACTACAATATATGCTCAAAATCCAATTTTCGCGCACTCGCTGGAAAACACCTCGAGAAAAGGAAATACTGGTACGCAGAAACATTCAGACACGGTCCAATTCCAGATACCAACTGAATTGCTCGATATGAATTTTATCGAATTTTAAATTTACTACAACGCTAATTATTTTTTAGAATTAAGCATAAAGAAGTTAAAAAAAGTGATAAATAAACATTGTATTTTATGGTATTATATTCCTTAATTAATCTAACTTTTTTTTTGTACATCAAGTTTTGATCATTTTTTTCTCGAAAATGGTTGAGTTTAGGACCCATATCATATAAGGTTTTTTTGTTTATTTTAATGTATTCTATCGTCTGTTATATTAAGGCAGTCAAACTTCTAACACCCTGTATGCCTGAAAATAATTTCAATTTCAATTTCAGCACCCCGTCTCGAAAATGAAGCATTTGACAAAACTTGACCTGACCTACGTCCCTTAATACATATTGATAACGTTTGACCCATTAGTAAATGGACACCCTGTATAAAGACAAATTTAAAAACTATAAAAAATCATTTTCGTATTTTAAAAATTTATTCAAGGGAGCCAATTTTTTTAACCCAAATATAAAAAATTTGGAATATTTAATTTAAAACTTCAAAAAATAATGGATTATAACCTAAATTTTTGTGGCCAGTTTTCACTATTTAAATTTACTAAATGGGATTAACCCAAGTTTTCGGTTTTCCTGTAAAAAAAATGATCTAAATTTATATTTTTTTATAAAGCCGATTTTATGTTGAAAGTGAAGCAATTCTAAGGGAAAACCAATTTTGATACAGACAAAAGATCATCTTTGTCCTGTTTATTAAAACGCCTATTTATTATTTCTTATCACAATTGCGTAGTTCAGTACATATTGTTTTGATAATAAATCATTATGGACGCATTGTTTTTTTTTTCCAATGAAAGCCATAAATGTTTGTATTATAAATTTAACGAATAGTTATTATAGCACATAATTATGTTAATCGCTCGTATAATCCATAAACGTTTCTACCGATTTCAAATCAGTCATAACCTATAAAGCATACAGGGTATTCCAAAAAAGGGTACCAGGACCCTTTAATACAAATAACGCCAAATAATTTTACGGTCTGCCGACTTTGCTCCTCCGCTTTGGATGGGCTCATAAATAAAAAAATAACGGCATAATGATCTCTTTATACTCGGAGGAATTTACATTTTCCAAACACTTGTCATTTTATAACCCATGCCCCCAATGCGGGTGGTGCCTTATGTCGCTACAAATAAAAGACAATCGTCGTGGGAAGAACTTCTTACGAGCTCCGACACGACACAAGCTTCTAATTAGGTCATTAAAGGGGGTAATGCATATGCACACTCATTAAGAGATGTGTGACTGTTATGAAATAATTACAAAGTTTGACACATGGTACAAATTTAACTTAATTGCCTTTTGTTTTATTTATTTGTGACCGGCTGTTATGTCACACTGTACTCTGTTGTCAACGCTATACTGCACGTATACTGGGTGTAACGTAAAGGTTGGGAATAAATTAAACGGTGGATTTTTTGGTTTAAAAAATAATTTTTTTTCCAAGCTACAGGGAGTTTGGTTTCAACAACAAGTTTCCAATAACTTTCGAACATTATAAGATAATAAAACGAAATTTTAGCTTTAGCTTAATTTGATAATCCCCTAGTAACAGGAAAAAGATTGACTTTGTAAGTTACTCAGTGGCGTACGGATTGTACCGTAAGGGTTTTCGAAGAAAATTGTTTTACGCCACTGGCAAAAACATTTTTTTAATATTTTTTTATGGTCCACTTTTTATTTTAAACAAAATTACCCTCTTGCGTTTTATTTCTAGCTCTTGTAATTTTTCCGTAAATAAAACTTTTGTAAATACCATTTTTTCCCACTGCTAACATTGGAAAATAAAAACAACAAAAACATTATGAGGTATGTTTTAACTCTTTAGACTTTTGCATTGATAATAATACTAAAAAACTATTTTTTTTTAATTTTTTTAGCCATTAGACTCTTTTAGTGTGACGTCACATATTTAGGCAACCCCCAACAAATTGTCATAGTCATAGAAATTGTACCGACTGAATCTGATCCTTATGTATTATTTACATGGATACTATAAAAATGAATTAAATATCAAATTAATTTATTTTTACAAAGATTTAGAAGTATTTAAGTATAACCAACACGTGTTTCGTAAACTAGATACACTAATGTACTTTTAACTTACAAAAAACGACATAAAAGAATATTCCTAAATTTAAAAAGTAAAAATTTAACATTAGCCGTGTTATTTCTAATGCGCATTCTCGGGAAGAATAGCCTCATATGCAGGTGAGATCTTGTTGATATATCATCGCGTATTTTTTCTTCCTTTGTTTAATCTCGGCATTTTTTAGTTCTATTAAGTATTTTTATTGTTTTTCTTGGTGTTGTACTGTGTCATTGTGTCTATCGAGTGCTTATTTCTTCAAGTTGTTTATTATAGACGTACCTTAACCATAACCAAATTTTCTTGAATGATATCCCGTTGCGAGGCTACGCTTACATGAAATTATCTTTAATGCGCATGCTCAGTAACATCGATATAATTTTAATTTATTAATTACTATAAAAGTCAATATTGTTCTATAAATTTAAATATATAAATTCTATAATTCTCTTAGTTTGTCACTTGGGGTTTGAAACTTCTTAAATATTGCCAGAATATCGCGATATTTAAGGTCATGACAAAGAAAACATTTTTTTGGCACTTATGTCCAAAGTACATAAAGTCGAAAATCGATCTAGTAAAAATAGTGAGACATTCTTCATGTCAATGGGTTGCCTATTATTTGACGTATGTGACGTCACTCCTAAAAAGGTCTATTCTGCTTTCAATACACTTATATGATTTTTAAGTTAGTATAGTTTATAAACTTTTACGAAAACGCGTTTAGGTTTTTAAATTTTTTAAATCTTATATCGGTAAGTCGGTGATTGCGTGACCTTTTTTTTCTAGAATCAAACGAAAAAGTTTTTATGTTTTGAAATTTTATATCGGTGAGTCGTGATTGCATGAGTTTTTTTTAAAAAAACGGGCCTCCTTAAAGCTTGCAGCCCCAGGCCCTACCATAGGTTAATACGGTCCTGGAATATATATGTATAGTTAAAAGAAAAATAAGTCGAAATTGTGTAAATGCGATAATCCGTTCCTTTAATAGTTTATTTTCCAATAAGACAGCTCTTGAAATTATGGAGAATTGATTAATAGAAAATATTAATTAAATAGGATTATTTATAAATTATTTACAATAGATATCTGTCAAATATGTATTAACAATTAAAATATTTATTTTGATGTAACAATTATCACAATTCAAGAATGTAAGTGCAATTTACTTCACTTTTATCAGTCTGTGATAATTACATATGTAGTTATAAACAAATACACAAATAACAATATAAAATAAATAAAAAAAAAAGTTTTAATCTTATCAAAATGAAGTCAAGCAATGTTCTTCGATACTAGAATTCTAGGTAATAAATAATTGTCCAAAATAAAAACTAAAATTAGTTTGTTTAAAAAAAATATCCCCTATTCCTGCCGTTGTTATCACTCTCGACAAAGACTAAAAAACACGTACCACAAAGAGATTTTTTTGTTTCCATAATTTACTTGGGAATGTTTCATCAGTAGGTCTGTCAGAACTGCGCCGCGAGACATGGGCGTACACATTATTTATTAAAATGCAACAAATTAAATTGTCTACAATACACCACAATAAACACAAACGAATAGAAATTAATTACATCCTCACGATAACAAGGCAACTGTATACTAACGTGATGTGAACGTGAAAAGCATTCTGAGGCAGCGGCGGTTGACCCGCTTGGCACTCCATTGAATTGCGGCTCTCTCTGACAGCCTTATTCATCAGGTAGCGTCTCTTTTCGTATGAAATAATAAATATTAACAGAAAAAAAGTATTGAAACGACATTGTCAAAAGTTAGGATTCCTGTCTGTGGAATTATATCTTTTGCTTACCCAGATTTCTGGTATCGAAGAACATTGGTTGAACCTTTAAAACAGAGTAAAAAATGCGGAATCTAGTAATAAAATATATGTTTTTTAATACAAAACAACAAGTTAGCTAAAAAGTTTGATAATCAAAATTTTGTGTAAATTCGAGGGAAGGTAAAAATAAAACAAGTGACATAATATGTTAATTTTATTACAGCTACTTTGAACGAATCAACATAATTGAACTAGAGAACACAACGCACTTACAACTTGTCATTTTTAGATTTTAATTTTTTACCCCTGGCGGCAAAAAATGGCGAGTCCACGTCGTCCACAAATTCTCTCCTCTCCCTCAGCCTCATATTATTATTAAAGTACCTCCCGCCTTTCGATTCCTTTTTACCCCTGGATGTGAAGAACGGTTCCTGCTGTTCATCCCTCCTGACGAAGACCCAGTAAGGTTCCGAGGCGTACAGGGGCTCCTGCATGTAGGTGGGGTCCTTTTTACCTCTATTCGCCCAGAAAGGACCCATCTCGTCCTGACCTGAGGACCTCTTCAAGCATAAGCCCGCTCCGCAGGACACGTCTTCGCCGTCGTTCTTGTTCAGCTCCATCTCGTCCACCGGGTAATGATACGAATTGAGGAACCTCTTTCTAGGGTCTTGAATCTACAATTTCATTAAAAAAATCTCACACTACGAACGAGTTAAATATATTTTTCGACTTCCGCGACTTGAACAAAATTGAAAAACGACTTTTACTCGATACCAAATGTAGAACCTAAAATTAGTATTTTTCAAAAACTTTTGTAACGCTTTTTGGTTGTTTTATAGATTAACAAAATCAAGAAATGAAATGAAAATGTTGAGTTAAAAGTATCAAGGTTAAATGTCGTAAAATATTTAAAATTATATGAAAAAAAGTTGCGAAATTAAATGAACTAAGTTACTTAGTTTTAAGGATGGTTACTTAGCATGAGCAAACATAAACTATCACTCACTTCGGCACTGACGAACATAACGAGGAAAATCAATCTTAAAAACTTGTACATTTTTGAAAACGTCTAGCCTGAAACAAGATTAATACTGAGCATAGCCAAAGGAGAACAGTCCCTTAAATACACTCTGTCCTGGTCTCTGAAGCAGAAAAAATTGAAATTGCTAGAGGTCAACCTGGATTAGAAACGGGACTTGGGGATTTGTTAACGTCTTTTTAGATAAACACGTAATAGGAGCGTATTTGGCTTCTATGAAATGCATTTTTTGCCCTTAGGCGGAAACCACCAACTCGCCTTTGCCCGGTTCAATCAATAAACTTAAATTACTGTGTTTGTAGAGCGAAATTAATTTGAGGGTAAAAATTAAAAAATTAATATATTAAAAAAAAACTGGTGGTTTATAAACTCCTTTTTGTTCCAGAATGAGATAACCCAGGCATTCGAGAGGGGCGCTCAGAGATATCCCCCCGAGCCCCCTAAGAGGTGCAGGCAGCCGAAGAACAACGCCTCTGAAAAAACAGACATCGAGGACATCGACCTCGAAATCCTCATCCAACTAAACGAAACAATCAAGTCGGATATATCGGAATTGCTGGCTAAAAATGAACTTAATGACAGCAACGTTACCAGCTATCAGTACTACAATAATAACATTGACAGCAATATCAATGGTTTTCCTTACATAAATGGCAATAAGCTGTACGAAGATGGACACTTCGACGATAAGCATCTCTTTGAGTCTGACTTATTGTCGGACACAATAGGCTCGGACTCGTTGCTTGGGAATTCTGTAAGTTCAAAACTAACATCGCGCATGCGTGCGTACAATCAAATTCACTCAAATGTTCGTTTACAGATAACCCTAAGCGAACATAACGCAATAAATGCGGCCACGCAAACATCACCATCCCTTTCCCCAAGTTCCACAAACCTAACGTGGAACTCAGAATGCTCGTCATCTCCCTGTCTAACGTCCACGTCAGACAGCGACCTCCTAGACGAAGATGCCCAGTCGACGTCTTCCACAGACGGCAGAGACCACCTACTGATCACCGCCTGGACCCCGAAACAAAGATGGCAGCAAGTTTTGGGCACGAAATCATCATCGGCACCTATTCTGAAAAGAGGTGCCAACAAAGTAAGTATTGGGACATTTCAAGACGCTGGCGCGTGAACGTTTTTCCGTTTTTGATCGTTTCAAATGAACCCTTCTCTCGGTCTGGCGCAGTGTAAATGTAGGTTACATTATAGTTAAAACAGAATAGAACTTTAAACGTGCTGTTCGATATTCCATATTCCTGTTTCTACCACCGAAAGTGTTATATATAATCTAACTTTATCTAGAGCACGAGTCTGAAAAGGGAGATAAACAGGTTACAACGGTGTTAGTCGTGGAGCATATGGTAAAAATAAAAAATTGAAGGCTGTTGCTAGGGCACAACATTTAGGCGAACTATATCTTTTTTATCTCAAAAAATGCAGCCTTACAAAAATAGATTCGTACAGTATTAAAAAAATTCTTGATTATACTTATACGAGTAGAGTATAGGGACATTTTCAGTTACCCTTTTTTTTATTTAATTATTTTTTTATTTTTATTATTTAATATTTTTATGTACAGGCAAGGTTGGCAAATACCATGATATTTATATAAATATCAAATATCGGATATATATCTTGATATATATTCGATATATATCAAGTCTTGATATACATTTTTATTTTAATTAATTAGTTTATGTATATTATAGTACGGAAATAAAATTAAGAAACTATTTAGGTAAATATTTTTGTTCCAAATATCAAAAACAAGAACGGAAAAATAAATATAAACTCTGAAACTGATAAAAAATATTTGCGTGAATGTTAAGTACTACGAAAACTAACCAATTTACAAGTCAACATAAACTTCATAAATATTAAAACAAATACAAACACACAGCACCTGCTCGAATTGATTAACCCCTGGAGAAATAATGAAATAAAAATATTCGTTCAATTTTACTTTGTTGAAAAATTCGGGGAATCACATAAATAAACACGTTCATCAACGATTAGCATACGGTTTTGCTGCCATCTCTTAACAGTTTTAGCAACTTTAAACCAGTAGGAATCATTATTTAAATTTTTATAAATATCATGATATATATCAAGGAATAAATATCGTGATATATATCAATGATATACATCGGATATATATCATTGATATATATCATGCCAACCTTGTGCACAGGTGTAGGAAACCAACAAAAACTAGTAGATACCTATTACATTTCAATTCATATCATAACGAAAGATGTAGTAAAACGTTTATTATATGATAATAGAGCAAAATTCTCAAAAATAAAATAGATAGAACCCGTAAAAAATATATAGTTAGATAATTAACACCCAGAAATATTTGTTGACAGAAATTTTGAAATCTTTGAAAAAAAAAGAAAACTGTTGCATTATCAATTTTATAATTAAAGTTTAAATAACGAAAACAGTGAGCTTTGGAAACGTTAACTTTGTGAAGAATTGTTATCTGCAAAACTAAATGACTTTTTAGCGCAAAAAAAAATATTTTCACTGGCCGAAATACCTAATCGAATAAAAAAGAGCATTCGGAGATAGTTGGAAGTACATTAGGGGTCAGGTAAATAAACATTTATTACTGCACTTTCTGTAATAAATAAAAAATTACAATACATTTAATATACGCTCATCTTATGACGATCTCTTGTAAATGTCGGTTTTACAAGCACATTGATATATGACATTACTCGTAAATTAAAATTAATGCCATAATTATTGTTACTATAAATACCGCTCAGGCATATCATCCAAATTGTTTATGTATTCATAAGGTACCAGACAATTTTCCAATTTGAAAATATGAATTCGACAATTTGTCAAACTTTTAACTGCAAATCAAAGTACTACGGAGCCTTCGTAAACGATTACAAACCACGTGAGCGACATTGCACGATTGACACTATCAACTAAAAATCCCTAAATCAGTTATAATTAGGGCTGTCAGAACTGAGCCGCTGGACATAGGCGTACGCATTATTTATTAAACAGCAACAAATTAAGTTGTCTACAATACAATTAATTACCAACGCGAAGCAAATAAAATTACTGTTCCGTGCCAAATTACTCGTCACGTGGCTTGTAAACATTTATGAAGGCTGTGTTGAAACGAAAAAATGTTTACGGGATCTGCATCTTGAAAATGACAAGATCGTTTTGCACTTGTGCGCTGCAAATCCGCCATTTTCCCGATTTCCGCAGTCCCGTGCTCCAAAACTATCGCATTTCAGCTAGTTCGGGATTTTGTGTTGTGCCGGGATTGCCAGTTAACCGACTATTATATTAATCACGCGTATATAACTTAGCGCCTTTGAACTTTAACTCGTTATCCAGATGGGTGGCCATGCATAATTGATCATGTAATTTCAGGTGAACAAGCAGTCTCGTTCGCAGTCCGACAGACACCTGGCCGGTGAGTAGTTGCAATATGTCTATCCGCGTAAGAGATTATAAGTTCTTCCGCAGTCTCAGTGTTAAAGTTAACGATAACTGGACGGTACGGAAGGCCGAACAGCTATGGCGACAAATGCGAACGCACAAAATCGCAGGTTGGTGATGCCACCCCTCCCCCCTTTGTAAAAAAAAAATTGTAAAATCCCACCGTCACACGAATAAAACTATTTCTAGGCCTTGATACCTATTTGAAGTTTTTCCAGCATTACAAAATAAGGTTTCCCTGCATCCCTTTTGTGTCTTGTTATTTTGAAAATATTTATTAGGTTAAATTTAAATGTTTCAATAACGAGGACATAATAGTTTCACATTTCGTTGCTTGCATTACAACTTGTTTTTAAAAACTGTGCGATGTTTTGTTAAACAAACGGTAGTCATTAGTTTCCTAGTTCTTAAATATGAATAGCATGGGCTAAATAATGTTTATTATTCATAGGAACGAAGCTATGTTCTTTTTGAACAAGTTTATTGAGTAAATATTATGAAATTTTTTCAAAAAACAAAACCGTCAATACTAAAATATTAACCCTATTTGATTTGTTCTTTAGTTTCATTTCATAGTTTAAATTTACAGTTAATTTTTTTGGACCTAATTCACAATGTAGAGGTGACCCCGAAAATATGTACATTATACATTATTGGGGAGCACCCTGTACATCGATTTGTCAAGATTTTTTGACATATATTCATGACCTACTTTGTGTGAAATATTATTTTCCCCAGAAAGAGAACTTTATTTTACAGAAATCGAGGCTGCCGAGGCTTGCAAGTGGTTACGCGCGACAGGATTTCCGCAATATGCCCAGCTGTACGAAGGTAAGAAAACAGAACTCAAATATTTCTAAAACGCCCACCCGGCCCAGACTGTATTATCTCAACCCTTTTCACAGTACCTTCTTCGTTATTGTCGATTATTGTGTCCCTTTGCCTGATGATAATGATACGTTACTCCAGACACAACCATATTTTTCATATAACAAAGATTTGGTGCGTTAAAATTTAAAACATCCGTAAAAATTAATGTTATAAACACCCAACTAATTAACGAACTATAGATGGCATTAAACTAATCAATTATTATTATTTAATTTCAAATTGAGTTGTTATTTAGATTAACTCGTTTTGTAATAAGATTTAATTACAGGCAATTAAATTTTATATGAAATTATGTTAATTACATTAATTGAACTGTAGAAGAGGCGTAAAATTTTGATTAGAACAGATTTTTTCAACAATTACCTCGTTGTAAAAATGCACGGAAAAAATTATTAAAAACACCGCTGATTTTAGTTGTACGCGGGAGCGCAAATGGCTCCGTTTGTCGTGCCGACTCCCAACTGTGCCATTCAAATGGCTACAGTAGGAAGGTTGTCTCACCTATGGCACACTGATGAGGACTAATAAGTCCGAAACCGGTCTGTGTCTGGTGGGTTAAACTGGCGAAGGATCCTAGCTGTTGCACTAGGTGTTGCGGGTATAAATCAATGCCGGTAGGGGCACATAGCCTTCGGAGTAGTTGTTTCTCGCAACACTGACAAATTAAAACCGCCGATTTTAATTTATACAGAAAATATACAATTTACTACATACATATAGGTACATATTTTTTTGTGGAATTATACGTAAATATTTTTATTTGTTGCTCAAGGCATCTTTCTCGTGTATCAATTTTACATACGTTTATTATCAAGCAAATATAACACCGAGCGCTTAAAAAAAGGAAATATAATAACTACATAGCGAAAAGTTACTGCGATAATGCAGAATCAAATCGGCTGGGCTCCAGCTCCCTTCAATCCGGCCGATACAAAATTGTATTCCACCAAACAATGGTTTTGTTTCAGATATGCAATTCCCCATCGACGTATCGACGGCCGCTCAAGATCACCCGCTTTTAGAACCCGACGTGCTTCATTCCCTTTATCGCCGCCTGCAGATCCTAAATAGCTGCGCCCATCTCCACCAACAAAGGGTGACACACACGGATGAGTCTGAAGATGAGTATTGCGCGCTGTCCGACAATTGGACATATCAAACGGACATCAGAAGGTGGTCCAGAACATGTAACAAGATGCCTTCCCGTAAGTCACTTCGTACATTACAACAATGCTCTCAATGATATACGTTTGTTTAGAAAATCTCGAAGATACCTCCAAGCGGTTGGAGAGCGTCGATCAGGACGACGTTTTCGAAAAATGCACGGACAGTCCTAAGGAGAGGCTGCGTAGAGCTGGTAGCACCAAGTTCCGGCGACGCAGGGAAGGTGTACTGTTTAGTGATAGGGACAATGTGCTAGATTCGCTTACGCGACAGTTAAGTGACTTAAAATCCTGTGATGTTAACCACGTGTCGGATTCGGAGATCACCCCAAAACACACCAGGAGGGCCAGGACTAAATCATTCGACAAAACTGATACGTGGTCGCATCCCCACACCACCACCGATCGGTGAGTTTTTCGAATTCTCTTAAACCTCAACCATAAAATAACTGTTTATTGTACTCGATTATCTGAACTGGACGATTTCCGGACAATCGAAAAGTCGGAAGTTTTATTATATTTCGGAATCCAGAATCCAGATAGATTGGTAAATCTATCTAAACACGTTTGATCGATCTTCCTGATCATGGAAAAGTCCGGATAATCGAGTTTATACTGATAGTGGCAACGAAATTATCAGATTACCTAGAGCAAACAAAAAAAAAAACTATTGCGCGTTCTGTTCCAGAGATATAGGTACCAACTCTGTTTTTCCTTATTTATACGTATTCTAATAGAATGTTTCCAGGATGATAGGTCTATCGCTAATAAAGAGAGATATGGCCATAAGAATGTATTAGAAAGAGATTATTGTTGCTAAGCAATAAGCAAATGCTGTTATATTATTGTTTAAACCTTTAACACTTTTGACATTCTTTTCGTCATATGTTCCCTAATATATCTCGAATGCGACGCTCAATTGTTTTTTTAACAATTCCTCGTGAAATAATGAATAAATTATGACATTTTATTTCTCTTATCTCTTTGACCTACGTAGTTTGCGATTTCAAAGCAGTACTAAAAAAACAATTGAAGGTGCTTCTGAGGTACAATTCGAAGCTATAAGTTTGACATATTTGTCTCTAATAACACGGCTAAAAGATTATGCCATATGCGTAATATTTCAAACAAAGACTAGGTTGCTTAAAAACCTGCAATAACCTCTTTTAAGTACACCTGCTCTGACTCGACCATAAAAAGAGTAGTTTTGTAACCTGACGAATTGCTCGCCGAACCCCGCATCATGTGAGAATGCCTTAACACACCGAGCTTAAGCATTTTAGCCATATTTGGATTCTGCTGCTATTAAAGACAAACCTGTCAAACCTTTATATTATTGTAATCGTGACAAAAATGTTTTATTCAAATATGTTAATTTAAAATTTAAAAAGTAAAAAAAAACTTTTGATTTATATCTTCAAAATGCAACTCTGAGTTGCAGGAAAATTTCCTAAAACTTTGGTAAGTAATTCCTAAAGATTACACTGGGTCCATTTATAATAAAAAAAGATATGATCAAACGACTGATGAGTTAAAGAGACCATTCTGGTGAGAAAAGCAAAGAAAACAAGACAGGATATTATCAGAAACATCTATTTAAAATACAATATTTATAAATTTTATAGGGTATTTATGCAAGACTAATTAATTAGTTATAGATAGTATTTTATTATTTGTTCTAATTATTAACTTGGAAAACAATCATTCATTGAACTATAAATTAAAAGCCTTGACGCGAAATCACTTTACAAAATTACTTGAATCTTGACTTAGATTTAGTCAGTTAAACTTCATATCTCCTACGAATTTGAATTGCAAAAATATCGGTTAATAATTATAGGCAACAACTGAATAATGTTCTGCAATCATATTTATATATTTTACTAATAATTCATATATGTATATGAAAACTTACATTTTATTACTACTGACAAAATATACAACAAGAAAATCTATTACCCATTTGATTAGATGAGGTGTAAATTTTAGGGTAATATGGCATAAATTACCGGAAAAAGAAATAGAAGCGCCAGAAAGGGACATACCACCAGATACCACCGGACCGTTGTTGTCCCATCTGTCATCCACGCAATTACAAGTACTTAAGAAGTTAGCTTTACTTAAGTTAACAGCACACATGGAAAAGTACTGTCCCTCGCATAGAACCGGATGGAATTGGGACTTGCCAAAATTCATCCGAAAAATTAAATCCCCGGTCTACAAAGGTTTGTGTCACAAAACGAATGGCACTTCCTGATATTTTCAGGCAATATCGCGATAAATAGACTTAAACGCATTTCTCAACATACAACAAATAAAACATTAAGTAGTTTATTAAAAGACGACGATATATGTTTTTTAAACAAAAAGTATTGATCATGTGCCTTTTCAAAGTAAATCATTGTAAGCTGATCTATATGCCGTCAATATCAGGAGTGTCAGAGAGCTTATTCCAGGTATCTCATCATCGACATCGATTTGCAGATAAGAACGTGTTTGGCGTACCCCTTACGATAACGTTTCAAAGAACAGGGCAAGTCCTACCTAGGAATATCGAGGAGGCCATGAGATGGCTTCAGCAAAATGCGGCAGATCAAGTAGGCATTTTTCGAAAACCGGGCGTTAAATCAAGGATACAGGCGTTGCGGAACATGGTAGAGTCGAACGTAGGTGTCGATTACACAGACCAACAATGTTATGACGTAGCCGATATGGTGAAACAATATTTCCGAGAATTGCCTGAAACCCTGCTCACCAACAAACTGTCGGAAACTTTCATACTCATTTTCCAATGTAAGTTACGCGTCAGTTGCTCTCGCACTAAATTTCAAAATCATTTACTTCAAATTATTCCCAGAAAAAAAAATTGCTGACCTAGCACAGTTAACTGATACTTGGTATAACGTGCACAAAAAAATAAGTAGATGTTTGTCCATTCGGCAAATTTTTTTAATAGGCTCAATTGCTTTAGTTACGGCCCTGGTACAGGGTGATCTCAAATAATCTTCTCCGTTAAACGCAAACCTAAACTAAAATAATATATAACTGGAATTTTACAACCTTGTACATACAGGGTGGTCAGTTTTATATCCAAGACAGAAATGTTTAAATAAAAATTAGAAGATTTTTAAGTGGAAAGGATTATACGACAGCGTGTCGTTGTTTTTTTTTAACTGAATTGAACTGCATACACTATACAAAATGTATTTAAAAGAAGGAGCACAAATGTTGCCTGATAATCTTGTAGCGAAAATATAACAATCAAGCCAAATTTTAGAATAGTTCAGTTGATGCACAATGATATTATAACGAAAAAAATATCTCATCTATTCTATTCGAAAAATAAAATAAACTGACTACACAGTTGAATACGTTGATAATAATTCTAAACCTATTCGTTTCCCAAAAAAATTTATAAGACTTTTTTTATTGAAAATGCAATTTAAGTACAACGCAATCATTAAAAGTCCTAAAAACTGAAGTATAATTATAATTACAATGTATTTGCAATAAAAAAATTTATAAAAGTTTTTTGTGAAACGAATATTTTTGGAGTTATTTTCTGTATATTCATCTATATAATAAGATTATTTAGGTGTAAAAAATAACTCGAAAATTTCACGTTGTACGAGTAAAATGGAACAGATCTTTCGAACACCCTATAACTTGCTAATTAAGCGAATTTGCACCAACTGGCACAACTATCATATTTTGGCCTCAGAATTATCTTATAGCATTTGCTTTTGTCCCTTTATTTAAATACACACTGTATATTTTTACATACTGAGTGTTTGATGGTGTAGTTTTCAATTCGGTTGAGAGGTTGGTCGAATTATTTAGGAAACTTAAATTTTGTATTAATTTTCAAATGGAAAGAGTATTCTATATAGACTACAAATTTTAGTCATTTTAATGTATTTCTACAAAATTTTCGCTGATATTGGAGATATTTTATTTTAAGTAGTGTTGCATTTCGAAAATCTAATAAAATTTTGTTTCAAATTTGTAGTTGTCTATAGAAAACACCCTGTATAAAATAATTAATGTCTTATAGTTCTGGACTGGTTGGTTAACCTATGTGATTTACATTTTTGAATATTTTTGTTCAAACTATTACTATTTGAAAACTGTTACAAATTCTTTCATTCATAAGTATTTGTCATTAAGTTATACGGGGTGTTTGTAAATAAGTGCGAAATAATTTAGGGGGTGGTTGCCGAAGTTATTTTGTGAAAAAAAGTTCATATAAACGTAGGTCGAAATATGCTTTGTTTCCGAGGTAGTGTTTTTACACTTTTTATTTTTATTAATTATTTTTTAAAGATATTGACTCGAAATTTGATGGTTGTATTTTATTTAGAAATATTAACAGCAACCTACAAGATAATGTATCGATAGAAATTAAAAATACACCACTTGCAATAAAATGTTTTATTTTTTCCTTAAAAACGGTGCATCCTACGAAAAAAAATGAAGACACCAGTTTCATTGAGAATTGATGGCGGATTTCTAAAAAAAATATCAAAACGGGAAAGTCAGTGGCGTACCAATTTTTTTTATTAAAAAGGTGGCATTCTCACGAACGCCACTGGTGCAAGTAGAAATATTCGGATCACCCCACAAAATGCACATTTATCCCTCCAAAGCGTTTTTCAAATTTCGAGTTAATATCTTTAAAACTGAAATAATTAATAAAAATAAATAAAAAATTAAAATTTAAACACTGTATCTGGGGAACTTTTTTTTACAAAATAACTTCGGCAACCACCCTCTAAAATATTTCGCACTTATTTACAAACACCCTGTATATGCAAATATATATTCTGCATTACCTTTGCAAGTTATATAATAATTACTAATTCACTCCACAAATATTCTCCAGACTAGTTTACCTTTAGCTTTCATGTTAAAATAAAATTTAACTGAAAAACTGTATACCTATATATCCTAGTTAAAGAGGTCATTCGAATTTCCACACTGCTGATCACGTTTTACATTTTAATCTAGTGACACCATGAATAAAAATCAATATTTCAGATGTCCCCCCTTACCTACGTCGGGAGTCCGTTCTGTGTGCTCTTTTATTAATGCCAGATGAGCACATCGAAGTGTTGCAAGTTTTACTGCATTTTTTACTGGCCATCTCCAAGCATTCGCAAGTTAATCAGATGAATGAGAGCAACTTGGCCATGTGTTTTGCACCATCTTTATTCCATTACTCTCAAGCATATAAGCAGAATCTCGGATCTCCTCATCCAAAAGAATTGGCTGAAAACAAGGCTGGACATGAATGCCTGCTCTACTTTATGAAGAACTTCAACAGTCTGTTCAGGGTGAGTGGTTCAAAATAAAATCCTGGTATGGAACTATTAATATTTGTCCCAGACCTCAGTAATAAATTTGAAAGGCTACTATATGAACACCTAATATTTAATTTAGTTCAAGTAATGTAATTTTTCAGATTCCCCAAGAGTTCCTCAACCAATGTAAGTCAAGCGAAATAAAGGACACCAAAGCCAAACTACTGACAGATCTGGGCAAAGAACTAGGAGGTTGGAAAGACTACTTAAACGAATGCCAAACAAACCTCTTAAAGGAAGCGAGAGAAAAATGCCGTGGGTGGATCCCAGTATCTTCTCACAATCAAAAAGTCGAAATATTTTACAAGAAAGTAGCTGATGGGTTACCACTTCGTCTATGGAAAGTTTCAGCTGAAGTAGAAGCACCACCCTCAGAAGTGTTGCATCGACTTTTAAGGGAAAGGCATATATGGGACCCCGATTTACATTGTGCAAAAATAGTGTCTCAATTAGAGAAAAAAGCCGAGATTTTCCAGTATGTAAGAAAACGCATAATTCCGTTACCAAATGAAGAATATTGCATAGTGCGTACTTGGAAAACCGACCTTCCCAAAGATGCCTGTTTAATAGTGGAAACATCTGTGGAATACCCAGATATAGTACCGGTTCCAAATACGGCAAGGGGGGTCATTTTGGCGTCTAGATACTTAATAGAGCCCTGTGGATCTGGAAAATCGAGATTGCTTCACCTATCTAGAGTCGATACAATGTAATAATTTTTTTCTTTTTAGTTTAGTTAAGGTTTTTATTTTTAAATTTGTATTATTGTTTAGATTGGTTAAAAAAATAGTTGAATAAATAAACTGTCTTTTTTTAGGGGACGGACTCCAGAATGGTATCAGAAAAATTATGGACACCTTTGTGCTCTTTTTCTTGGGAATATACAAAACTCATTTTACCAAAACACAGTAGGCCCAGAGAGTAAAGTATAAATACCAAAGATGTACATATTTTTTAATTATTGTTATCTATTTTATATAATCGAATTATAGAAAAAATATATTTTTATAATAAAATCGTTAATATAAAAATAATTTAACTGTAATCCAGTTCATGAATCAATTTAAAATTGTTGGTATGATATATTCGACTAAAATTCAGTTGCTTTTCCAGTATAAACTTACAATTAATAGCCATAAACCATTTACTAATGACATAAATAAATTTAACAATGCATACAAAATTACTGTTATATTGAATATAATGAAGGACAATATCAAAATTTGGAATTAATTTATGTATACAGTGTGTTGCGATATTCATTTTTAATGGTTTTATATAAAATCACCCATACAAATCAAGTAGTAACTTGCCTTAAACATGCCTTATTTATACACACTGTATATCTGTAAAAAGATTCAGTGAAATATTTAAAAATCACTGTATAGGTGCAACTACTTGTCACATGTTATGCTAGTCAAAATATATATATTTTTTAGTTTAATAAATATATACATATATTTAGAATTAAAACTTTTATACTAGTGTAATATTGGATTCTATTAAACTAACCAATCACTAAATACAGGCCAGTATTGTCACTCTATTATTGTACATTAATTTCTCGATTATAAAATATTCTATAAAATTGTTGTTCACATAAATAATTTATATATTTTAAATTAAAATTGCTATGCCTAAAATAACTGTTTAATGTTTGTAAAATATATAATATTTTATTAAAAAGTGTTTTTTCTAAACCTGACATATTTCCAATGACATCAAATTCTAAGAAACAATATAAAAATTTTAATTTACTGCTTTATAGAGTACCTACGATAAGTACTAACCTTAATGAAATAGATATTTGTAGTTATTTGTTTGACACTACTGCTACCCCTAGGTACATAAATCAATGGACCTACCTATAAAAAAAAATAAAATTCATAGATATACGATACCCACAAAAATAAAGTAACTGTAAATACATAGGCATTCACAAGAGCGATGGCAGTGAGAGATGCCTGTCCCCTTTTGTGCATAGTGCACTAACATGTCAACAAATCAAAAAATTAAAATTGGCAAATTATCAAAACAATTAAAAACACTGTTATTTTTATTAGGTAAGCTACAAATATTTGTTCACAGAGCTACTAAAATCAATACTATTTCTATAATTTTCTGTTTGTTGTGTACTGTCATACCCAATAACAGAAACGGGCATATATACCAATTATTGCATACTATGTAGTACTGTGACATTTTATTCAATAAAGCCCTCCTAGGTGCTTTATAATGATGAATATATTTTGTGAATTATTATATTAGACAGTGCTATTTACTTCAAGTTTAATATATCTCTAAATGTATAAAATCTAAGACAGCTCATTAAATTTCAAATAAGCACAATCTTATTCAATACAGTATATATTCTTCCGTTACAACAAACAAGAGCCGATACACAAGATGGTAGTGGAACTACAAAAAGAACAATTCAAGAGTAAAACGTGATGCCAAAATTAAAATGAAAGTATTTTTAAAGTGCTTCTGAAGTTAGTTATTGTAACACGTAGATTGCCCACTGTCAAAATTGTGCAATATATTAAGTGTGTAAGTCCAGCAAACTGCAAGACAAGAGTACCATAAAAAGAGCAACAAAAATATACTATCTGCTAATGAAGATTATAACTACTTTGTATTTATTTCCTGAATTAACCTAAGTTTAATATTTTATTAAATATTTATGTTTACTTATAAACATAACTGCATCGCATATAACACAATACTTTTTGTGCATTGAACACCGAATAATCAATCATTTATAAAAACAATTGTTTTTTAAAATGGTAGCCTTACCTTGTTACTCTTGTAGGAGATATTTCTCGTCAATTTTCATATCTCACACATCACAAAACTACACATATTTAATGTTACCACTAAAAATCACTTTGTACAAATTATTATACGATTCAAACACTATATATACACACATTTTTACGTTTTCAATTCAAAATTAAAATCAGCACGGCGGTACTCGGCAACTACATCTTTCGAGAGAGGACAACATCACGCAGTTTGCTGTCCGTCCGCGTTTGTCCTGTACCGCGTTCAGAAATGTTGAGATTAACTAACAACAAGAGTAGTGCTATTATAAAATCTTAATAAAATTAATGTTAGATGTTATTATCGGTAAACATAATTTTGTACATACATTTTTAACTCAAACATGTAGTAAAAAAGAAATGTTTCTCAATTTAACATAAAATCCAAGAATGAGAACCATGAGAAAGGATGCAATCAATAATAAAAAATCTTATACAATAATATTTTAATAGAAAATTTAATACAAAAATTAACCCGAACTTGTAGATAGGTAGCATCTACGTTAACTTTCACGCATAGTTATATATTTATAACTAAAAACATTTCATATATCAACACATCTCTAAATTTAATAGAAACAATAACATTTTTTATAAAAATACATTTCTAATTAAAATGTACAATTTGCACCTATTTAAAATTATTATATATTTATATTAAAGCATAGGTATATTATTTATTTTATGTTATGTTTCCACTAGTAAATGTAACTCGATAGTTGCCAGGGGCACAATTATTACAATTATAGTATATAACATCGTTATATCTAATCTTTTCTTCTAGAGAATTTCAAAAAGACAAAGAAAAGTAACATGTTCTGAACTTATATATGTACAGGGTGATCAGGAACTGACGGTTGGCCGCCATTGCAGGAAAACGGAAAAATCAAATAGGAAACCTCAAGCTGAGATCTTATTGGCATGATGAGATAAGTATTAAACTTAAAATTAATTAATATTAGGTCACACACTTATATCATTATGACATATAAAGATCCTATTTGCACTTTCCGTGGTGTAATGGCGGCCAAGCTATTCTGGTCACCCTGTACATGAGCTCAGTTTATTCTAATTCTGCTTAAAATAACATTATGGACATAAGTACATACTGCTGCTTTATTAAAATCCTACATAAATTTTGAAATTCAATTTTGGTAAAAGAGCTCGTACTTCTGCAATTTGAGCAAGGTGAACCTGATTTATGAAAAATTTCAATTAATATCTCTTTAAAATTCTCTGTACAAGCCTTCAATACAGGTGAGGTATAATATCGGTGGGAGTCTGACATATCGTTACATAGGCCTTATGGCCACTAAATCGGAATGATAACTTGTATTGTGCCTAAGGTCAACGCCAATGCTTATTGAACCATCACTCAAATCTTGAACACGTGGTCTTCTGGCCCTTTTGTGATGAGTGGTAGGGTGACAACGGCAGTCACAGTGCATCACACAAAGTGCTACAGATGTAGCTAAAGTAATAACAAATGGCACCGCAAAATAATGTATTATTATAGCAACCTGCTCATCTCTCTCATAATGCGTCAAAACCACTGTGCGGTTTTCACGGGAATGATAACAAGGAAATTCTGTTCCCTCCACACCGTACGTTTCCGTAAAATTGGAACAGAGAACACTGGGTGGATATCCACATCCCTTTATGTTCACTAAGAGGACAGCGTCATCAGTTTGGTTGTAGGGCTCTTCCTGCAAAGCGGTTCAAATTAGACACCATTTCTGAAATCAGTGTAGTACACAGGGGGTTTTGGGGATTTAAAAATGTAAACAATTTATAGATATAGGTATACTTTTTTGGGTCGTCAAGATTCTTTAGTGAGGTACACTACCTGTCAAAACCTATAGCAAGAACCTCTGTACTTCATTAAAAAATGATTCTTACCATGTATTTGCCCCTTGGGGCAAATTTCATGCACCTTTGTCTGCAAATTTACGGCATTGCGTACTCCGACAGTAACCTTGATTTTCCTGTTAATACGTTAGAAATTAATGTAGCTCGAAAAGCTGCGAGCTTTTTTATTTACTTAAAAATACAATATTCAACTGGAAAGTTTTCCAGTGGCGTGGTCAACGAAAAAAATATTTTTTTTCGCTACTACACAGGATGTCACGTGAGGAAGTGCACACATTTTAAGGGGACATTCTTAGGTTAAAAATAAGTAAAAAAGTTTATATAACACTTCCAGAAATGCAATGCCACATAATTTTGTAGAGTAGAGTACAATACCTACATTTAGCTTTAGCTTAGAACACAATTATAATAAATCGACATTCTAGAGATCAGTGCTGCAGATATGAGGCGTCAGTTCCTTCCGCAAAATTTCTACGCTCTTTTTAAAATATCTATGCATACTTTGTTAAAGCAAAATACTGAGGAAATTAAATTATTGTGAAATTTTGGTATATTCTATTATAACTTCAAGTAAATGACATAATACGTCTACAAGTCTTCAAAAGTGTTTTAATTAGTTTAATTAAAGGGAACTATTATTGTAAACTAACATTTTCTGTTGTAGTAATTACTTCTGTACTTCTAAATTTAATTAGCTTTAAGTATTTTGTGGACATCGTTTTGGGCTATAAAGCCTGTATTTGTCCCCTTTTCCACAAGTAAATAAATAAATAAATAAATAATTAAATAAAAAGATATTATTTGCAACCGTATCCCGTAACCTTAAAAAAATAAAGTTGGTAACCTGAAATATTTATACTATTTAAAGGTACTTCCAGTACCGGATTTAGGTTATATGAACCCTATGCCGAAAAAAGACCCTATAAATGAAAAGTTGTCCAGTGCAGAAATTACAACATTATGGGGTTCAAGGTTAAAGGTTCTTTTAAACAATAAGTGTATTTGAAGTTTTAAACGTTAAGTACGAAATAAATGATATATATCTACATAAAATAACCATAACGTCGGTTTTTCACCTTTCCAGTAACTTTGAAAGATAGATTATGCATTCCTTTGTTCATCTTATTTATATTTGCGTCCAGCGCCCCTGCCCCCTGGCTTTTCAACATTAAAGTTGTGTTTTTATTTAATTTTCCTCACCTTGCTATCGTTGTAACTGACATAAATATGTGTGCAATGATAGGCGTCACTCGTACACCCCTCACGACACGAACTCCAAGAACAATTCGCCAACCCCATGAGTTCTTCTCTTCTCGTGGTGATGCATGTCACAGGCTCCGTCACGAAATTGGAAGCCAAGGTTGATATGGCCGGATCTACATAGAGTGGTACTAAAAACAAAAGTGAAGATCCTGCTGACATTGCCACCACTGCCAAGAGGCTTGTCGAATAGAAAAGTGCTTGCTCTCGACATGATCGACCTGCTACGACTTTTGCTTTCTTTGCTGCAGCGAGTTCCTGAAAAAAGGAGACCCTTCAAGAAAGAAATCGCACTTACAAGTGCTCATTAAAATGCTGACATATAATTTTACAAATATTCCCAGTTTTCTATTGACTTTTCACCCTTCAGTTAATCATTATGCACGACACTGTTTCCATCAGCATTTCTCCAGTATTTAGTAACGATGTAAACGTTCAAAAATTCATAATTTTAAACAGATCGTAATTATCGCTACATTATTTATTTGAATTAGTAACAAATTGGGATTTCTCTTTAATAGAGTTGAAGCAGGAGAGAATGTTTTTTACGGGAGATTGACGATTTTTGTGTTCTTTGATAGGGCGCGTTAGATTTATTTTGAAATGGTTATCTACATGTAGCTAATGGGGTGACTAAATTTAAAAAGGGTGAGACAGTTCATTAAACAATTGAGGGGTCAATATTTTTGGGCAGCCTAAGCATAACACATTTACCATAACACGAACATTACACATAAGGTGTGTGTGTCTACAAACATAAATCACAATTTTATTACAATATTGATCCCCTACAGAATTTCAGCTATTTCGCTATTACAATGAGGGGCATATAATTCTAAAAGCATTTTCACTTTCAACCAATTCTGCGCATATCTCTGAATAATAAGCAGTGGCTCTTATGGAATAAAATTCAGGTAGTGCAACAAACTACAATAAATGGCCTAGGTCTACCATGCCCTTAAATCTCACCTTAATCTTTCGCTTCCTAAGCTCCTCTTGTTGGTCTAGGAGCAGTTCCGAACTACTGCTCCTCATTTTAATAATAGCACTATGACATTAGTCGATTAAAAATTTTTACCACTCGCCGCGGTTCATTGTCATTGCAAATCGAAAGCGGACGGCAGCTTAAAGCTTCAACCAGCTTTCAGCAACGCGCAGCCGCCCCAGCACTGCCCCACTGTGCCTGACACTTTTAATTTTAATCATCAATACGAAGGGTCACCGGGTTTAGGGTGTTTCTCAATTCTTCAATTTTCTCTGCCAATTGCTTCTCAATGTTTTACAGCATTTCGTGACAAGGTCAAAGGAGATGTACAATAAATTAGCAAAATAAAATGACGGGAAATAAATACACACTGAAAATAATATTTACTGGCAATCGAAAAAACTGTAATTTATAATAAAATAAGGAAAAGTCCACAAAATCAAACAAAATAAATATATGCATAAAAAGCAGTAACAAATTTCAAATATTGATGAAAATTAGTCCTCTCATTATTTACCTCTTTCAAATTCCTTGAAGTTATAAAACATTAAATCTTTATATCTCTATTACATATTAAGTAAACGACAACAATAAATCCTTAAATTAACTATGAAGTTTAGGTGTATTTTTTTACACGACCTATCAAAATTAAATATTATATATAAATTAATTCCAAACTTTTGTAATAATTTATTCATAATATTATAAGCTTCATACAATTAATTATTTAAATGAAAGAGCACAAATCGTACCTTGACCAAATACCAAATCTTGAGCCCAAAATATGATAATTGGGCCAAATATGCTTTAGGTTAGGTCAGATTAGGTTTTTCTTTTATGTTAAAAGTATGAAAAAATCTAAATCATGAACATGATTCCAATCTGTGGCCTTTATCATATCAGAAAGGCACAGAGGCGCGCGAAAATCCAGGCTGTCCGTAGATCCTGTTTAATTTGAACCCTGTTTCAATACTGATTTCAGCATTTTATCATCAAAGATCAAAACCCAACAGTCTTTCCAACCATTAGGCAACCATCCAACACATGCAATTTTATTTTTCTAGCTCTGGAGCTGTTTCAGGACAGGGGTGCATTCAAATTAAATATCTGGCGTGGCCGAATGATATCTGGATCTCTTGCTAGTACATGAAATAGAGAGAGATCTACACAGGGTGAGTCATTAATAATGGTACACACTTAATGGCAGATTGTTAACGTCAAAATATAGTGATTGAGCCAAACTTGCCTTAGTCAATTGTTGTTCCTTTACGTTCTACAGGGTGTTAAAATTAAAAATATATTTTTGATTTTTTGCTATATTTTAAGTATGTATGGACCGATTATTTTGAAAATGTATTTTTACGATTATTTCTCGGGTAGAATGTGCTATCAATTTATTATGTCAGTGCTTTCTACTTTGGAAAAAATATTTTTTTTAATTTAATTCCCGCCGAATCTCAAAAACATAAAATGTCGGTATCTCGAAAACGGTTGAGTTTATCGATTTGTAACAAGTATACCTATTTTATTTACAATTGAACATGGTTCAATATTTTCTAGTTAAAAAATTCAAAATTGTAAAATGCAAAAAGTTAGACATATTTTTACATTTATAGGGTAGTATACAGTGCCTGATTTACCTATAGGCTGGTGTAGGCTGCAGTCTACAGCCCCCCACCAACTAGGAGCCCCCATCATGTTAACAAAAAATTATTTTATGAAAACTAGTTTTTTTTAAAGGTTTTTTTTAAGACCTTCCCCATCATGAACAAGAAAGAAAAATTATTCTGAAAAATATAATTTTTTATTCTTAAAATTTGAAATCTATCCATTAAGATATGATTTTAAGAGCTGCTATTAGAGGAAGAAAGTGTATACAACAAGAATATATATTTTTTTAGGGGGAGGCTACCAAAATGGATATTTTTTTCTAGAATAGGCCCCCACCAATTTACAGCCTACAGGCCCCCACCATTATAAATCAGGCACTGGCAGTATAACTAGCGCCCCCTAGACGTGGCCCCAACACTGTTGGCATATTCGTATTTGCCACTTCAAAAATGTAAATCTACAAATTTTCAAAACATGCTCAAATATAGCAAAAAATCGAAAATATTTTTTCAACTTTAACACCCTGTAGAACGAAAAGGAGCAACAATTGAATAAGGCATATTTGGCTCAATCGCTATATTTAGACGTTAATTATCTGCCAATAAGCTGTGTACCATTATTAATGACTCACCCTGTATAGATATCGTTCGGCAACATTTCATATGAACGAAACCCAGAACATACCAATGGAGTTTTAGACAAGGAAAGAGAAAAGTGAAACAGTTCTTTTCTCTGCTTCTTTCTAATTGGTTAAAAATAAGACTTTAAATAAACGTGTATTTGGCATTGGCCAATATGGTTTTATTTTTATTATGGGACACGTATGTTGTAACAGGTTGGAGCTTGCAAACAGCGCATGCGAATTTTTGTTTCAGTGTTATTTACTAATTTACTATTGGAGTGGTATTGGTGGTATGTTTGCTGTTATGGTTTGGTTTCCCTTAACTTAAAATAATGTAGATTAAACAAAATGTTTAAAGCAATAATTCCTATATTTTTCATACAGGCTGCTTTTCTACTAATAAAAGCAGAACCTACATTGGAAGACATTCCGTCATTACCATACTGTCCAGATAAGAATGGATCAGGGTAAGAGGTTAATGTTTATGTTTTTCAATATTTCATGGCTATTTGTTGTTAGGTTGGTGTTGGTCAGTACTTTAGATGGAAATTTATCTGCGGTAAATTCAACGGGATCTTTAATTTGGCAAATCCAGACTGGCCCTGGACCATTACTTACTTCCAATATTCATAAATTGGAGGTAATTATGTAGGCTTATTTAAATTTCAAAATTGCTAAAATGTTCCCTTCTAGTTGACCAACAATGGAGAATGGATACGTATCATTCCGTCTTTAACTGGTACTTTATACAAATTCGATGGTTCAACGATAGATCCCATACCTATAACTGCAGAAAGTTTGCTCAAGTCATCTTTTCGATACTCTGACGATCTCGTCATTGCAGGTAACTGATTTTATCTTTTTTAACCAGTAAATGATATTATGATATGAAATAAGTCGTAACTTTCCCTTTTATTTTTTAAGGAGGGATTGAAGTTAGAACTTACGGCGTTGGATTTCGGAGTGGTAAATTGATTTATGAATGTACATCAGTGAAATGTTCAAATACAGACAGTCAAAATGTTGATGACATGCTTCTGATTGAAAGAACAACTCATACTATTCGTGCTGTCGAACCTAATACGGGATCTGAAAGGTAGGAATAATTTATTTAGTTATCGGCAAGGTTAACGGATAAATATTTTTTAAGTTTTTATGCAAATTAAGTTTATGCTCATAGTATGTTATGATGTAATGCTTTTTGTGCATAGATAAGTAATATGCTTAATGTTGAATTTGTAACGTAGTAGAAATAAAATCATATCTTAAAATTTATCAGTTGAATTATCTGGTGGATTAGTATATATTTTTATCTATGTTTTTATTTAATTCTGTGAATAATAAGAGTATATTTTTATGAGTAATAAAAAGTAGATATAATTAGTTACGATTGACATTTAATAGATGCATATCAGTTGACTAACGGTTAAAATTTGTTGTATATTAGATTTGATCTTATCATGCTTTGATTTTTAAGTTTTTTTGTGTTTTCTATTTGGATTATATTTTTTTAGATGGAACTTTAGTGTTGGTCTCCATAATATAAAACTTCCTAGAATCAGTTGTATCGATGGCCATACCAAATTATTTGATTGGAATTTAACTGCAGTATTACCTGAAGGGAAACTTAAAGCATCGACAATATTAAATAATGTAGAACATAGTTGGCAGTACACATTTACTTCACCCATAGTAAGAATTTGGAGATGGAGTGGCAAAAATTTGACAGAGGTTAATCTATTTGCCCCAAATAATATTCCAAATCTTATAATCTCTTCATCATATTTACCTTCTATTTACATCGGAATGCATAACAGACAGGTAAACCAGCTTTTATCAATATCAATATATCACTTCTTTTTTTATATATATTATTCCTTTTGAAAAGATGTACTTAAAATATTTAACACATATGACCATTTTGGATCTTTCATGCAAAAAGAGGTACAAAATATATGCTGACGTAGATCGTTTAAGTTTCCGTACTAGAACTATGTTTTTATAGTAACCTGTAAACACAAGTACACATTTGATGCCATGATTTACAATTCCAACTTGGAGATGCACGATATTTCAACAAATACTGGTACTGGCGTATCGTATTGTGTCCCTTAAAAAGTAACGGTTCTGTGCAATACCAGATGAAAAATTGCCGGTACAAAAAACCGGTACTTTCATGATTAGGCATTTGTTAAAAAAAAATTGAAAAAACAACACCAACTTTTTAAATATATAAAAAATATAATATAAACCTTTCAAATACTACTTTTTAAACGAGGTGTGTTATGTGCAAACACAAAGCAGCATAAGAAGACTAAATTAAATTAAAACATATTGAGTATGGGATTGAAAAATAACCAGTACTTGGAAAAATCGTACCGTACCGTGCATCTCTATTCCAGCATACATTCATCAATTTGTATGTGTATCCAGTGTATTATAAATTTATATTGCATTTAATGAAAATTCTTAAATTTAGCGTAGGCCAATCCTTTTTATATAGAAATAAGGAAATGTCCCTAATGTATATACATAAAATGTACAATAGTTTGGTTAGAATTCAACTGCATAAAAATGAAGTTTAAATTTGTTTTCTTGTAATTTTTAATTTAAAAAATGCCTTATTTTTTACTTGTACTAATCTGATGATTATCAGAAAATAATAAACAAAACAAATACTAATAAAGGATATTAATCATGTGTACAGGTAATTTTCATTAATTATTGGCATGCTCTGTTTATCAGATAACTGAAAACTGATTTTATATCATTGAGAAAAGCAAAATAATTTCCATTTTTTTTTAAATTTTTAATTGTTTATTTAACTACTGGATAACTAGACATTGTCATAATTTTTAATGTATGACATAAATCTTCAGTTTTTTTTTTCATTATTTTAGTTGTACATTCATGAATCGACCATCATGCAAGATATATTACATGGTCAAGCAAATAATGATCTAGCAGTAACTGAAAGTACCAGTATCACTAAAATTCCCTGGAAACCGATTTCTGCCTCTTCAAAAGTGACAGAAGATGATTCTACAGCATTGTCAGTGCTAAATTTGTCGGAGTATGCTAATGGTATATTTTATTTAAAATGTATGCAGGATATAATTGAGTAATTTTTACAGATAATGGTTATTATTTATACACAGAAGCAGATCTTCGTAAGAAAGACAAATTATTGTGTGATACTAATAGCAGCATTTTAGGGGCTATAAATGAAAACGAAGCTATGGATGATATTGTGGGGTATTATTCAATGTTTTTGTGGTGGAAAGAATTTTTTCTTATGATGAGCACCATTATAATATGCCATTTTCTGTTCCGATTTTGGATGCAGCATTATCACAAGCAGGAGGTTATAATAATAGAGAAACCTGTGGAAGCCCATATCACCACAGAAAGACAATTATCTGAGAAAGAACCGTTTTCTTCGCCGTATTTAAATGACTTTGAAACTATTCGTTGTATTGGAAAGGGTGGGTTTGGACTCGTTTTCGAAGTTAAGAAAAAAATTGATGAATGTTCTTATGCTATTAAGAGAATCACTTTACCAAATGATCAAAAAGCGAGAAACAGGGTGATGAGAGAAGTTAAAGCATTAGCAAAATTAGACCACAAAAATATTGTGCGATACTTCAATTCTTGGGTAGAGCATCCGCCGTTAGGCTGGCAACAGGAACATGATAAAAAATGGCTAAATTCTTTGTGTGATTCGTCTTCTATGTTTTCCGAAGAGAATACTACAACTGTAGCAACACCAAATCACACATATAAAGCAAAACGAAGTAAATCTGCCTCCGTTAGCATTGACATTCCAATTAAAAGTTTCGAAGAGAACCCTGTAAATTTTGATGAGGACCATGACAATGATAGCGACGATTCTTATATAGTTTTTGAAAATAACACCCAAAACCATGAGAACTTTAATTCTGCGCATGTTACTTTCAAAGAAGACTATTGTAAAAGTGTATCAAATGAAGCCACAATTTCTTCCGGAATTGAAACAACACACAATCTTTCACCAGTCATCGGCCATATGAAGAAGAAAATTGATTGGAAGCGTCCCGGAAGACGACATCATTCTTGGGATTTGACAACAGAAAATAATGCTATTACCAAAAAATACAACAAGATCCCTCCAGTTTATTTGTATATCCAGATGCAGTTATGTCAAAAAGAAAGTTTAAAAGAATGGTTGAACACAAATCAAGAAAGGGACTATAATACAGTTTTGAATATATTTTTGCAAATACTAGATGCTGTAGAATATGTTCATTTGAGTGGCCTCATCCATCGAGATTTGAAGGTGAGTATGCAAATACACACAGAGCCTTCATAAATTATTACAAGCTACTTGTCCCCCGAGCCTAAGCAAGCCAGCACGACTGGTACTGTCAACTAAAAATCCCTAAATTTTGGCGGCACCAATATTAATGATTCGTTTACAATGAACAATGACAAACCGGTACGTCTACGCTCAAGTTAATGCGATTGCTGATTGGTTGAATAGAATTTGGTGAAAAACCAATCACAGCTGATGAAACAAAATGTTGTTTTAATATAATTTTGATCTTGTTTTAATAATTTTTTATTTTACCGAAATTTCATTGCCAACATGAAGTAAATAAAATGATCGTTCCAAACAAAATTACTGGTCACGTGGCTTGTATTCATTTATGAAGGCTCTGTATTAGTGTAATAATGTATATACATTAGGGTGGCCCAAAAAAAAACGAATATTTTTTTTTTCGTTTCATGAAAATATGTTAGTTTTATCAAGTTTTCAGAGGCCCCTCAAAAAATCAAGGTCGCTCAGATTTTTAGAAATTTCCAAAATCGTCAAAAATTGAATTATTTTTTTTAACTTCTTTTTCTCGTTATTTTATCATTTTCTAGGTTGAAAAAAATCTCGATTCTGAAAATTTCAATTCGATATTTTATTTTCTAAAGGTCACAACTTTCAAAGTAAATATCAACGAACTAATAATTTATTTTTTTTTATTGAATTTGATGGACAAAAGAATAGAAATAAATCACGACACTTATATTTTAAAAAATTATAAATATTTGATACTCACAGTGCGGTAGTAAATTTTGCCTCGAGAGATTTTTTGTCTCGTGATTTATTTCTATTCTTTTGTTCGTCAAATTCAAGTTAAAGTTAAAATAATTACGAGTGACCTTTAGAAATTAGAATATCGATTTGAAATTTTCGGAATCGAGTTCTTTTTCAACCTAGAAAATGATAAAATAATGAGAAACAAAAAAATTTAAAAAAAAATCAATTTTTGATTTTGGAAATTTTTAAAAATCTTGAGTGACCTCTAAAATAATTTTTTTAGAGCTGATTTTTTGAGGGGGCTCTTAAAACATGATAAACTAACAAATTTTCACAAGAGACACGAAAAAAAAATATCCGCTTTTTTGGGCCACCCATACATACTCTATTCTATTGCATCACTTCTTATAGGTATTTTATTGTATTCTAAAATAATGTTACATTCCTCATTTTAAAAATGATATTCGATTACTGTATATAAAAAAAGGGAGTGTCAATCAAATTGGGCGAGTCACTCTTTGACTTGAGTGATTTGATCATCTTAAAAATTTTATTGTTTTAACATCAGAAAGTCTCACGTAATGCAGATTAGATTGTCTTTTTCATTCATTCATTTACTGAATTAAAGTGATTTCAGATTAAAAAGTACTTCAAAGTTTGTTGTGAATGAGAAAAGGTTCCCAGCAAATTACGTTAATGAAATGTTTTTATATTTCACGTTAGATTTCTACAACCCTTCTCTGGTTTTCAGCCTAGCAACATTTTTTTCGCTTTGGACGGGCAAATAAAGGTGGGAGATTTTGGACTAGTAAAAGACATGGACGACGCTTTTGACTTGGAAATGATAAAAAAGGGCCATTCACCTGCTTATCGTGGTCACACAGACAAAGTTGGTAGGTTTTTTAAAAATTCTGGTACGGAACAAATCCACTACTCACTTCTAAATGTTTATAGGAACACAGCTGTATATGAGCCCTGAGCAGTTTCACAGTCGCATTTACGATTATAAAGTAGACATTTATTCATTGGGATTAATATTTTTTGAGTTGCTAGTTCCTTTTTCTACCGATATGGAGAGAATTAAGAAATTGTCGGAAGTGAAGGAGAATAAATACCCAAAATATTTTTCAAAGGAATATCCCAACGAGGTAAGGTTTCTTTTTTGTCTCATGAGAAGTAAATAAATTCTGATTATTTTAGTACATTCTTCTACAATGTATGCTGTGCAAGGACCCAAATAAACGATTAACAACTATCGGCATCAAATCAAGACCACCGTTCAACAAAACGGATCCAAATTATAACGAGGATTCTCATTACCGTTTGACAAATTTCCAGAAAAATTAGTGTTTTAGACTTTTATTGTTCTCATATTTTTATTTATATATTAGAGTTCATTTTTAGTGTATTATAATTAGATCTTTTTTTTTCCAGTGTGGACTGGCTAACTGTGATTTACAAGCAATTTAAATTATTCACGTTAAGGCAATGTTCTTTTTTTTTTTGTTATAAAATTATACTGTACCTTTAGGTACTTACTTGTAAGAGATACCTATATGTGATAGTTGTGAAATTAGTTTTCACATTTATAAGTATTCGGAAATATTGAACGAATGTATTTACATATATTTCAATATTTTTTACTGATAGACTAGATATTATTTAAGTTTTATAAGAATTTCAGAATTGTTATTTTCTAAATAAAATTCATCGTAAAAAGATGTTTATTTATTTTAAAACAAACATGATAAACATATAACACCTTGTGCTTATAATAATGTACGATATTCTCTCTAGCTTAGAATATATAAAAAATCAACATCAGGTTAAAATTACAGTTCTAAGGTGGCATGACCCGTCTTTGATTTTACTTTACCTACCCAACTTTCACATAAAATCGTGTTAATCAGCCAAATAGTCAACAATATTAAAACATATTTATCACAACCTATTCATGTAATAGCGTCAAAAATAATTTATTTGACAATGTTGTAAGCATTAAAAAACTATGAAAAAGTGTAATTTAGCTGCTTAACACATACGACTCGATTCTGACTGAGTAAACTTTAATAGAAAAATAAATGTTTAATTTCAAATAATTTGGTCATAGCCAATTACGTATCTGCGGAATTTGTTTGCCTCGGAAAGTAATTTTAACCTACGAAGGACACTAAACTAACTGGTATAAAAATTATCTATATTTAAAAAATTTAAAAGAAAATATATAAAATTCACATAGATACATACATTTTATAAAACGGTTTGAATAAAAATGTATGTACTTTCTCTAGGTTACTTTTTGGTTTAGTTATTGAATGACTAGTAAGGAGTATTTTGATTTTGTTTGGAAATATTTTTTTCAAGGTGGTCTCTGAAGGCAACTACCACCTAAAGTCGTACTGTAATCTCGATAAGAGAACTGCTAGTGTCATGCTTTTCATAAATCACCCAGAACAATATTGTCAAAAAATGGAGACCTACGTTAGCAGGCTACTCATGTCTTCACAAACTTAACATGCTTAGGTAACGTTCCTAGTGAAGTATTGTAAAGTTTTGTTCGAAAATAACAGATTTAGTGCGAAACATTGAAGATTAGCTGTAAAGTATATATTAACCAAATCTAATGTGGACGATTATTTAAGGTTTTTCATAAGTATTATGGATGAGAAGTTTCAAACTTGCTAATTCAAAATAATTAACTGAGAAAACACGACTTGTTAAAAACTTTCTTAAACACCTGCTTCCAGCAATATATAAAAACTAAATTTTAAAAATACTGAAAATATACATATAAATTCTATTTACATTTTGATATTATTTACTTGAAGAATAAGGTAACAACATGCGGGCTACATTCAGAAAAGTGCTGACTTTAGTTGGAATTCTTAAAAAAAAAATGAGATCTTTGGCTTTGGCACCTCAGTGATAATTGTGAGTATTATAAAACAGTCCATTCAAACCCAATACTGATTTCTACGTAGCATAATACTTTTGCTAGGACAAGACGGTAGATCTGACGCATCTATGCTGCTCCAGTCGTCCGGTTGTTCGTCGACTCCGTAAGGGTAGCATGCGTGCGGTGAGGGTGACTCTAATTCGCCCCTATTTAAGGGCGTGACCTTGCATTGGGGCAGTGCTGTAGACATAGGAGTGGTGAAACCATCGATATGTGATGATTTCAACGGTGGCGACGACGACAGCAGCCTATCGGGTGGACGGGGTAAAGGAATGGGTTGCGTACATTGCTCCTCTTTATTCATTTGTGCATCCAAGGAACGGCACTTGATAACGATTATTACAGCGATGCCTAGGACGACTACTCCAGCAGCCATACTCACTGAAATAGATTTTTTCGTGCTAAAATAAAGTAGAGATGTGCCGCGGACATGTCAGCTGGACATGTTGTGAAAAGTGGACATGTCCTGAGGACACCTTTCAAGATTGAAGTTGTATGCGCATGCGCGGAATTATTTGTTGCATTGATAATTCCTGAAAAAAATTTTTGAGGTTGGTACATGTAAAATTAAAGACATTTAGCCATTTTTTTGGTAATTGTTTAACTGAAAGTACTGAAATTGACATTTTAAAAATATAACCTCTTTTATATGTTCATATTTTATTATTTTTGGCATAATTAACGAGTAGTAAATAGTAATCAGTTGATTCTTAATTTAATATTTAATACACAAATAGTTTATAAATGAAGTATGACGCCAAAATCAACAGTTTTGTTATATTTTTCTGAATTGAGTAAAAATCATTATAAATGTAACTTCTGCTCAAAAACAATTTTTAAGAATTCCAGTAGGATGGAAAAACATTTAAATAATTGTATTGGCTGTCCGGGGAAAATTAGAAACCAGTTTATAAAAAAGTCTAAAGGTAGGTAATAAGTAAAATATATCGACACATAGGTATTCATTAGAATAAAAGTAATATTTTGCTTTGTGTACCCTCAAGCAGTGACCTGTGAAAACATGACGTCACTCATAGGTGCCTTATTAGATTCAAGGTCAAAAGTACTTTTCCCCGACATGTCCGGACATTTCATCGACATGTCCATAACACACTTTTCCGAAAAGTGCCCATCTCTAAAATAAAGTAATAATAACTGAAAAGTGACATACCTATTAGCAAGTAATCTCTTGTAATGTTTGGACTGGCGAGATGTCTTCCACCTTCATGACTTGCGGGATCGCTAGGTCCTGGTAAAGTCGAAGAGACATCGTTATCCAAAGAAGATTTAATATTAATTTTCAGTTCACCGACGGCGGGTTGAAAAATACTTGTCGCCAGCATAAAAACCAATTTATCCTGAATACCATCCCATGGCACCTCTATATCCTTAATCGCTAAGTAAATCAAACCGCTTTGTACTTCTTCGTGAGTGAAAGTATTAACAACTTTGTCGAGGGCATTTCGTTTTTCACCCGAACTTCGGATTATTTTCCTCACCTGCCCGTATTTCGGCAAGCTTATGATAGTATAGTTAGGGTTACTGTTTGTTAACTTAGCCAAAGGCGTAGCGTCTATAGCGTTCAACGTTAATCTAGAAGTTTCGCCTGCTTTTATGGTAAAATTATAAATCTGCATAAACGGCTGTACTTTAATAACAACTTCCATGTCACTTCCAAAAGATGTATTGCCTGCTGATATCTCACCATACACGTGAAAACTATCGTTAGCCGTTGTCATATCCATTTGCAAGTACATGATTTTTTCACTCGTTAAGTCCGCATAAGTAAATGACGTCATAGGCTTGTTCTTATAGAAGGAATTTGCGTGATTATCTTTATGTAAAACTCCATGTTTTGGAGGACGTTTCACGGTGAACTGAACTTTGTTTTTATCGGCATTCGTATCGATGAAGAACTGTTTCTCTGATAATAAAACGACATCAGATCCTTGGTCTAAATACACCGGTAGCCCAGGTAAAATGGTAATATTTATCGGAATCACTATAATGTTGAAAAGTTTAAATTGTGGTCTAAATCGCTCATCCCATATACGGAAATGGAAGGAATCCTTCAGCGAGGTACCATCATGGATGTAGACAAGCCTGTTTTCATCGATATCTGCCTGTGTAAAATATGTAACAGGCACACCATCCGGTAATAAAATCAACTTGCCTTTAGTAGGCTCGGAGATTATATCATATTTAAGTTTCGACGGAGGAGTATCTGGGTCTTCCGTAGCTAATTCATGCCTTGTTATTGTATGGTTTTCCCCTTGCACAACTTCTAGGCTCGGGGCTGGAGTGACCAGCTTAAAAGGTTGGTCATTTACAGGATTTACGATTATTGGAACGGTAACATTACACAAAGTAACATAACCAGGTATAAGATACAGCGAGAAATGTATGTTATCTCCTAAAGAATCCGAGTTATCGTGTTCATAATAAACTTGACCTGATTCCAATTGTTTTTGCGTGAAAGTCGTTAAATTTTTATTATGCTGCAGAAACACCTGGCCGTGAAGTGGTGTCATGGCTGAAGCGTGTATTATAGGAGAACGAAGCCCTGCATGATTCTCCAAAAATGATATCACTCCAGAAAGGTTTAAAGGGATGCTAGTTTCACCACCTTCATCTACAGATATCTTTGGAATGCTAACATATGCATCCAATCCTCCAGAAGATACAGATATGTCAATTTTCAAAATCTACAAACATAAAACAATTAGTAAAATGATCAGTAATACATACCAAAGAATGTAGCATACCTGATTTACTAATTTTGGAGCTAGATGGGCCCTAACATTAAACATAAACGAATCGTTAGCATACAGATCAGAAAATTGATGAGTGTGCTCATAGAAAACTTTCGTATTATTCAGATCATCTTGACTGAAACTAGACACTACCTTGAAGATTCCCATTTTCTCTGATTCCATCATCAGTCTACCCAAAATTGGAGGCACGATGACTTCGTAATGAATTTTTCTATTAAAATCGGACACCGTAGTAAGCAAGTGATTAGATGTAAGATATTTTCTTTGTAGTGGAAAGATGTGCAGGGGTTTGCTTACTAATTTTAACTGTACTGGCTTCGTTTTAATGTGAAAAATATAATCCTTGGTTGTATGTAAACCATCACTTATATTAAACTTGAATCTCGCTTCAGAACCATCTGGAAAAATTTTTCAAAACATAAGTAAAAAGTTGTCAAAATGGTAATACTAAATAAAACATATGTAGCTTTTAACTAATGATATTGTGGAAAACAATTACTTAGGGAGCTACAAATTCACTTATTTGCCTATGTTTTGAGTAGTATATATTTCAGTTCCCGCCGCAGAATAGGAACATCAACCACATAGAGCTCAACTTTTCACCGATCTTTCCAAGATTTCTGGCAAGATTCCGCAAATGTCACGAGTACCGCTAAGACCCACAAAATCACCGATGTTTCGAAATTTTTCACCGACGGAGAAAATCACTTTTTTTTAATTTAAAAAAGCAACAAACTTAGTTCCAGGCTCGCGCTAAACGTGCTAAACGTAACGAATTTACACTAATGCAAAAAATTAAAGGGTCAAGGTGTTTAGGTGAAAATTTTTCACCTAAATACAGTCTGTCAAAAATCACGGAAAAATTTCGGAAATTCTTTTGACCCTTTGCATTAATTTATATCTACTTACTTTGATGTCGAAAAACCACCATCCTTTTGTCCAGCAATTCCTGAGTGAAATAGTTAAGGGAAGTTGTCACGTCAGATATTAAGGAAACACTACCCCACCAACAACTTTGCACCTGATACTTCAAGGTATCTTTAGGCCTATCGTCATCAACAGCAGCTAAAAATTAACGTTAATTCGTTACTTATTTAAGGTCAAGAGCCGAACCAAAGGCGTTGTTACTACTTACCCAGCATTTCATTTGTTATAACTGCAACACTGCCTTCCCACATAATAAGACCCGTATTATTCACCAGCCTAGGCTTCTGATCATTAACTGGAAGAATGGTGATCTTCAAGATAATTGGGAAACTTTTTTTCTGGCTAGTTTCTCCTACTACCGTTACTTGGTCTTCCAAATTTTCGGTACCATCATGAGCGTACTGCACCACACCCGCCTGCAATTCTTTTAAAGAAAATGCTTTGGATTTGATGCACCTTTTGTGAACTTGAATGCAACCATGTTTCACATTATCTGTAATAGTGTACAAAGTGACTTTTGATTTGTAATACTCTGTAAGTACAAATAGATGAGCTGTTGTTAAGACGGCGACGCCACCTTCGTTGACCACCAAGTTGTTGCTGCCTAAGTAAAGTCTTTCTGGTATAATTTCTATATCCAAATGAACGTTTTTTCTCCACACTATTCCATTTGTAACGTTAAATACTATTCTGTCCCTAGTCTGATTCGTCCCCGATTGGATATATAAAACTTTGTTCTCGTTTATTAAGTTTTGAGTGAAAGACACCACATTGACTTGTTCGTTGCCGTTTTTCCCGTCGGACAAAATAGTTAAATACCCGTATTCGGGCATTTCTCCAATGTGGTAGGTAATCGCTGATGGTGGTACGTTAATTTGAGAAATCTAAAAATAATATTATTATAATTTATATTAATTATAATATAATTATAATACACAAGGTGTGCAAAAGTATGCACATAAAGTGAAGCTTCCAAATATACAGGGTGTCCCGAAATTCATGCAATTTGGTCACAGATTCTTAAGACAAATTTAGGGGAGCCCCCTTAGGATGAAACAAATATCAAGAGACAAAAAAGTTTCCAAATTCAATGGCTTTCTAGCAAACTAATAATTTTAAAAAAAAATCAAATTTTCGACCAAATTTTTCTGGTTCCAAAGACAAGGGGGCTCACAAAAAAGTGTCATAAGGGGATTTCTCGCCAAAAAGCATAGCACTGTGAGATTCCACATGTCATAAAACCCCTGTGTACCAAATTTAGTGATTCTCGTACAACATGGTTTTGTGATATAAAAAAGACTTCTTTGGGGCAGATTTCAGGGGGCTGTAACTCTGAAAGAGGGGGCCAGTTGTCAAAAATAAATTTGTCTTAAGAATCTATGACCAAATTTTGTTGCATGAATTTCCGGACACACTGTATTATTTACCTCTAATATCTTTTTCGTGATTAAAGCACTCGTCGATTCCTCAACAGACAGCTTTTTCAAACTCTTGATGTCTAAAGGGTCCCAATAGTTCGATGGTAACATCCAAACACCTAACTGGGCAACATTAATAGCATCTTTGCAGCGAATTCTAATCCCAATCTCATCGGCATTACCAGCAAGCTGTTCATTGAGATAGCTTATTAGACCCCTGCTTATATCTTCGTGGGTAAAATTCTTAATTACCTAAAACCGAATTTATTACAAAGCGCGCGATTTTTTAATTTAATTACTCACTTTCAGCGTCTTTGAAGAAACCACTTTCCCAAAAGTAGGCGGACTGGTCACTTCGTAAACCACATCTTTATCAAAAGCGTACACATTTGTAGAATACGAAAGGTGTTCACTCGTAATTACAACGATTTTTCCTTGCTCTACTATAATTTTTTTATTCATATCAACGTGAATGAACGGTGCCGAAGCTTGTATCTCCAAAATTCCGTTTACGTGGAACTGTCCATCAGTCACCCACAATCTTACTTTACCGTACTCGGGTCCTTTATGCTTGAAAATGATCCTGCTTTCGTCTAAGTCTTCCTGAGTAAATTCTGTGATTTTCGTGCTGGGACTGTTGATGTAGTAGAAATGTCCGTTGGGAGATTCACGGCAGGTATACACTATCATCGAAGTTGGCGTTCCTAGATCTTCATCTGTGTATTTTAAATCTTTTCCTGTTAAAAGTCTCTCACCACCTACTACGATGTGGAAGACTTTATCAACCGCCCTTACCGGGCTGTTATCGTTCTTCAGACGAATATTTATATTAAACTGTCCAACGTATTGGAAATTTTCTTCGTTCGTTGATAAAGCGATAAACTTAAATGAATCTGTTAGAGTTTCAGACCCATCGTGAAGGTAGTGAAGCAAGTTGTTTTTCAGTTCAGTTGCAGTGAAGTAACTCGTATCATTTTTGACAATATCGCCCTTTTTAACTTGCAGAATACCATGTTTTACTTTACTCGTTAAATTATATAATAAATCCGATACAAAATCTGCTTCTAAGTATAAGTGGGATGGGTTGATAAGAGCAGAAGACCCTTCTTCGACGTGGAGTGGTTTTAAATTTACGGTTACTTTCAACTTGTCTTCCATGGGAGGGGAATAGGTTATTGTCAAATCTGAAGAGACGTTATTGCAACCCGGTGATAGAACAACGAAGGAAAAATAATCTTCCACATCTGAGTAAGCCTTTTGGTACAGTCTATACTTAATATTTTGCGAAACAATATCTTCCTGAGTAAACGTATCACAGGATCTTAGCCTGTACTTGGAAACAGAAGAAAACAGGAAACCATACTCAGGAGGTTTAGATATAACGTAGGTTATCGATGTAAGCGTTTTCATGGGTTTCGTTTCGAACGACAAGTACTTTGTAGATATCGGCATTTCCCAGTATTCGTGTAATTTCATGGTTTTGCTGTTCAATTTGTATAAAGTACACTTTGCGAATGTTAGCCTAAATGTATATAATTGGGATTTATCCAACGTTCTGAACTGAAATTCGTCGAAATCTGGCTTCGAATTAACATGTCTGTACCTCACACGATGTTGTTTCAGGTCACCGCTAGTAAAACTATCCGATGCTTCCCAAGAATTCACATTTTTTTCTACTTCTATGACCCCATACTGAGGCTTCTTCACGATCGTGAATTGCGCTGAGTAATCTGGAATGGCTACATTCGATGTAAAACTTAAATTATAAGGCGTTATTATCGATGAAGTTTGATGCAAAACTATTAGGCCTGTATTTCGTTCCAGTCTCCAATATTGCGGAGAAATAGATACTCGTAATTGGTAAACTGGACTAATCTCTATACCATCAGAAACTTGAAGGGATATGTACGACGTGTTTGAACCGGAACTTTGGTCGAAGAATACGATTTTTCCTTTTTCAACGTCTTCTTGGGTAAAATACGTTATTTTGACGCCTGGCTTCTTAACATTCTCAAAGAAACCACTTTCCGACTTTAAAACTGAATAAATTAGCTCTGACGGGGCATTATCTGGATCAACCGCTTTAAATACCTCTGGTGATATAAACTTTTTCGTTCCCTAAAATAAATATATACAATACAACAGCATTTAAACACAAATGTGCAAAGTAAAACCTTACCTGTACTGTACGAAAAACGGTTGAATCACTGATATCCAAAACAGGAGCATCATTTGTTGGTATAACGTTAGCTGATAAACTAAAACGAAATTTTCCTTGCAAGTACACAGGCAATGTAAAAGTGTCAGCTGTTGAAAATTCAACTTCCAAAACCATACTATCGTGACTACTTTCAGTTCCATCATGAACATAATGCACCTTATCCCTCGCGACGTCATGTAATGAAAAGGAATTCCCGTGGGGCCAAATGTCAATAGTTATACTTCCATGTTCAGGGCCTTCAACGATGAAAAAGTTGATACCTGAATCTTTGATACCATATTTTTGATAATCGAGGATCATGTGGAGATTCCTCGTTGTTATAATTTCGCTTTGTCCCTCTAAAACATCCAGTGGTCCAACTGCTAACAACTCCAATTCCGTAGCTAAGCTACTCTTGGAAAACACTTTATAACGCTCGGTGTAATTAACATTTACGCAAAGATCTTCCTGGCATTGACACTGAAACGAATCCAAACCTTGTTGGATACAAATTCCGTTGTCTTTACAAGGATTTTGTAAGCAAGGATATTGCCACATACATCCTGGCAAGAGGCCCTCAGTTACATTTGCATCTGGAAGTCCTTTTTTGGCGTCTAATACGTAAAGGTGTCGAATACAACCTTTAAAGCTACTATCACAAGATTTACTACAACCTTTTTGAGTTGCACGGAACCTTTTGCTAATCTCTAAGCCACCTAAATATGAGCTGTCGCTTAGCTGGAACAGGTGCCCATGGATATTTTTTTCACTTACGACTTTTTCGTCAATGCTAAGCTCTATCGACGAAGTGGACAGTCTGAAGAATACTTTGTGCCACTCCCCATCAGAAATTTTCGTATTTTTACTCAGCAGTTTCAATATTTTCTCCCCCACCTTCACTACGATCCGGACCGAGTAATTGTTCAGCTCTATCAGAAAAAAATCTGGCTTCAACTTATGGCCTGGGTTGTAAAATAATATTCCGTCTCTCGTTATGGTTCTTACTTCAAAATGTATCTTGAATTCTTTGTAATGCTGTTTTTGTGGGATGATCATGTATGCGTCGTCTTCGACGAAACTGATAGGGTGGTCTACGGTTGCCTCAAATTCAGCCGCACAGTTCCAAGTTATTCCTTGGACAGTAGATTGTGACTGTCGATGTCTCGCTTGTTCCAGTACCATTATATCGTTATATCGCAACTACAACATTGGAGCTATAGCAGATTCATATTGGTAATGAATATATAGACTTACCCCTGACAGACACCCTCTAAATTTATCTACGTGACCGAAAAATATATCTGTATTATTTTTGTTTTTGTTGTCACCAACGAACAGTCCATAGTGGATATTTAATTCAAAAAATTTTCCTGGAAGATGCTTTCTGGAAATAAAAAATTATTGGTGAAAGTGTAAAATCAAAAAATAAAACATCTATTTGCTTTTAAGGATAGAATCGAATCAAATTAATATGATGTAGCCGCATCAGCGTGCTAAACGAATAGTTCAAATATGATTAAAGGGGTATATTTCGATTAAAGTCAATATTAGAAAATGAGAAAATTTTCCCGAACTTTTTAATCATTTGGTACAATGTAGGAGAAGACCTACAAGGCAATTGATATTTAAATTTCTGTTTACTTTAGCTCTCCACATTTTCCTCTTTAGTCAATATTAGAGTTTTATAGTCATTTTTTTTCACTAATTATGTAGAAAATTGCAGTGGCTTTAAGGCACCGCAGATTATTACATCTTTGGACATAAAAATCCAAGGTTTTCGTGTATATTTAGAAGGGAACATTTTTAAATATATATCCCGAATAAATTTTTTATAACAAGTAATAAGTTAAATAAGTTATTTACTTCAAAGACTTCTTTGTAATCACATATATACCTGAAAATATGGTTATTTTTAGAATCCATTGGAAAATAATATGTCCCTTACAAAAATGTATAATAACTCTCCCGGACTTTTTGTATAAATATAAAAAAGTAAGAGACAGTTTAATAAAATTTCTCTTTTAATATCCATTCTATATTTATGCCTTTAGCAAACAATAAAGCTTTCATGTAGTCACGTTTAACACAGTAAAAAAACATTAATAACGCGAAGTAGTTGGCATACAAAAGGTTAATTAATTGTAATATTGATGAAACAATATCCTTATGTTCTGACCTAATTGCGTTTAATAAAAATTAATTTGCGTGCTGTTAATTAAAAACCCTTAATTACTGGAAACGTAGTGTCGTCGCGATTCCGCTTGCACGGAAGTGACAATAAAGTGTCGACCCTTACAAATGCTAAACAGGGCGTTTGCACTTCCCTGTCTCACCCTTTTGTAGTCCGAAAACAATGATAAGGGAGGAAATACAGGACCACCTACGCATCTTGTAAAAATTCTGCTCGTGTAGTCAAATATTCTCGCCGACGGAGAAGGATTAAACTAGAAGTTATTGCATAATATTAGCTGGGTGGTGTATGCGCAAAGATATGATGTGAGACACTGGAAGCTGGGGAGATCTTCTATGAAATTTAGAAAGAAAATCGTTGTTTTCTACTATGTAGTAAAACACTGCAATCCGTTTTATACAAAGGCCAATAATCTACCATCTCAAATTTTAACACAGTTTTATATTAAATTTCATTAAAATTAATAATAAAACGAATAATTTGAAAATAACATGCTTTTTCACAAATTTCAAAAAGGCTCTCAAATATATATAACTTTTAATACATACACTTAAATTCTCAATGAATCAACGAAACTCAAATTTGCATTTGCCTCATTTTAAATAAATAAGTTAATTTGACACTGTTCTCCAATTAAATGCTTTTTTTTATTTTTGATATACACTAGATAACAAAAATTAAAGGATAAAAAAATCCTAAATTTTTAGGTGATTTTCAAACGGCTGTAACTTGGCGAAAAATGGTCATAGCCAATCAAAAGAAAAGCAAATTCAAACTTGGAAGTTTCTAGTTTCAGGATTTGAAATAAATATTTTCTATCGTTGACCATATTTAAGAAATCATAAGAAATCCAATGGAAAAAAAAATTCAAAATTTTTGCTTTCTTTCCTTCAATAAATTTTTTTGGCAATCGTCGTTTAAAGCAAAAATAACTTTTTGACTTTCATAATTCGGGAATTAATATTCGTACAGAAAATTTAAACAGGGTTTTGAATACTTCAACCCCTATGAGACGTCCTTATCGTTTTTTGATAAAAACAATATTTTCGGTGCAAGTTGATTAAAAACAAAGGTAAAAATTTGCGTATTTAAGGATTTTTGTTGAACTTAAGATAACTACAAATAATGTATAAACTGAGGATATTTTCCGCTTTTTTTAACCTCGAAGTATCCCAAAGAAACCCTCAAGAGTTCAAACACTTCAAACCACGGCGATTTTTCATTGTGATTCGAATGATTAAAATAGCTAAAAATTTCATTTTTAAATAGAAAATGTTTTTCTTTTCGTAAAAATACATATTTTTTTGTCATCAAAAAATGTTAAATATCGAAAAAAATGATAAATGAAAAAAAAAAATTTGAACAACTACAACTACAAAGATCACTACAAATCTCGCAAACTGTGCTTTGAGACAATTTGATTTTGCCACCACATTTTTCGCTTAAATTCGGCTAATTATTATTTACAAATTAATCGATCTAATTAAAGATAATTTGAACCGAAAATATGAACCTTATTAGGTGCTTGGTCTCATTTCATCATAACATTCTCTTGTATTACAACTGATTTATTTCGACAAAATAAAACTTGCCTGAGATAAACCCTGCAACGCGCCAAAACAACACTTTTTACGAATTACAGAATTCTTTTAATTCAGCGCTGATTCCTTTTGCATATTAGCGAAGCTTTCAGTGGAGCAACGAATAAACCGAAAACAAGGTTGCTGTTAAATTGCCATTGCTTCTATCCCAAGAGGAGCACCAGTACCCTACTTAGGTATCTGTTTTATATGTATAGTGTCGATTTATTTTAATTAAAACGTTTTCGACGGCCGAACCGTTCGCGCCCCGAAGAGTTGGCGAAAAAACGTGGACTTTATAGTTAAACGACGCATTAAAAATTTATCAAGGGAGAAATAAAAACGTTTTGCAAGGCGGGTGGAAAATCGCACGTAAAACAAAAACTCTTGTCGTTACCGCCGTAACTCCTAAATTTTAAACGCCACGAACAGCTGTGGGTTATATACAGGGTGACCTGAATTCTCGGTTGACCCCGTGCCACCCCTACGGCGTTATAAATCCAGCTTTGGATCGCATAAATTATTAATGTCCGCTGGATACAGTTCCGTTCTCGGAGAGGCAACATTTATAGTCGTCGTTTACTACTCCATATATGAAACAGTACACTTAAGTTCAATGTGAACAGACAATTATAAATTAATTATTAATCCACGTGATTAATTCACATTGTTTCGTCAATCTTAGCAAGATACGCAGCAGGTGCACAGACATAAAAAGTAGATACATTAATATTAAAAGTTAAATCACTTATGAAACATACAGGGTGTAACCTTATGTAGGGGGTCAGTTTTTCTTTTTTTTTTCCTTAGCATACTACTACACCAAACAACTGGTTCCTAACATCTGTTAGTGTTATTTTTTTCAAATGCGCTAAATAAAAAGATAAATCAAAAACGTTTATTAATTATAATTTTGAGTAGATGTGTTTCTTTAGTGTTTTGGCTGGTTCTTTGTCACTGGCGCCAGAAGGCTAGTGTAACTGTCTAAAATAGTATTGGCAAATATACGTATTATTTATTCCGTCAGGTTAAACGTAAATATATCATTTTAAATTAAATTTAAAAAGTGAGCAGTTTCTTCATAATTGTTTTCCGCAAAGCGTGTATCCAGCGGTCAGTGGCGCACCATAATTTACAGTAACTCAACCGTCAGGGGTCAAACCGTTGATCGAGGAGTGCGTTTTAAAATATACAAGGCGATATATGAAAGTGTTGCGGTTAAAAAAATATATATCTGAATTTATCATAAAATTTTGCGTATAGTGGTATAAATGGTTCTGGATTCGGTTGCTTTACCAAATCATATAAAACATTATATGAATTTTGCGGGAAATTAAAATGTGTAACAAATTGCAAGTGTTACTATTTAGGGCTAAAATAATAGAGAATGTGAAAGATACAGGCGAGCCAACAGCCAACCACTCCAGATCTATGCCAGTTTTACATCTTACAATTAATACAGTATTTTATTTATTTCGCGTTTTATTAAGACGTTTCTGTAGTTATTCGAAAGTTAGTCAATCAATATCAATACTATACAATACAATCAAATACTATTTTAGTGCGACGTCACATATTTAGGCAACCCGCAACAAATTGTCATAGTTGAAATTGTACAAACCGAATCTGACCCTTGTGTACTACTTACATAGATACTATAAAAATGAACAACACTAACAACAACAATTAGTTTATTTTTACAAGTATTTAAGAACAACCAACACGTGTTTCTTAAAAAAGATACACTAATGTGCTAAAAATTTAACATTAGCCCAGCTCATGCTTGGAAAGAATAGCCTCATACGCAGTTGAGATCTTGTTGATATGTTATCGTTGTCATCATTAGCGCATTTTCTCTTATTTTGTTTAATCTTGACATTTTCTAGTTCTACTAAGTATTTTTATTGTATTTCTTGGTGTTGTACTGTGTTTCTTCAATTGGTTTATTATAGACGTAATCTTAACCATAGCCAAACCTTTCTTGAACGATATCATGTTGCGAGGCTACTTCGTTTACGTGAAATTATCTTTAATGCGCTTGCTCAGCAACGTTGATATAATTTTAATTTGTTAATTACTATAAAAGTCAATATTTTTCTACAAATTTAAATATATAAATTCTATAATTCTATTAGTTTGAAACTTCTTAAATATTTCTAATATTGCCAGAATATCGCGATATTTAAGGTCATGACAAAGAAGCCATTTTTTTGGCACTTATGTCCCTGGTACATAAAGTCGAAAATCGGTCTAGTAAAAATATTGGGAAATTCTTCATGACAATGTGCACTATGGGTTGCCTATTACTTGGGGTATGTGACGTCACTACTAAAAAGGTCTATTGGTAAAAATAATTAATTCACTACCGTGTTCTTATGCACTGCTCCGTACATCTGAAAATAATTTTTAGAAACAATTAACGATTTGAGCTCTAAATCGAAGAGAATTTTCAAAAACATCAGTACATCGCTGTTCTATATATTTTTTATTTTTTATGCAATTTTCCGCCAAATTTTGAAAATTTTTATTTGGGTAAAACTTTTCAACCCTCCTAAATTCATCTGAGTACTTTTTTACTTCCGATGCATTCATAAAATAGAAATAGCAGATTGT